TAGACTCTTGGCACTCTTAGGTGAGCAGACTTAGTCAGCCTGTGTTGCCCTAACAGGAAGAGATGGTGGTGAAGAGAGAAATGTCTGTTGCCTCTTGAGGTGGGAAATGTTAATGCTGTGGACAGGTTAAAATGGGAAGTAGACATTAGTTAGGATTTACACACCTGGAGATTGTTGGGACTATTATTAATAATTATTACAGAGATGGTGTTGAGGAATCAGGCAGTCATCTGAGGACTGTGCAGGGAGTTATTGTATGGAAAGGGCAAGCAGTAAGGGACCCTCCTGGTTGCCGGAGACCCTGTCAGGGGTTATTCACATGGTCCTGGATTTTCCTGGATTTCGGCAGGGCCCGGGGTGGCCGTGTACAACGAGGGGGTTCGGTGCGGAGTTGAGATCGGCCGTGACTTTGCAAATTATAGCGCAGGCATGTCTCGTTGTTTATAGCTTGTGGGAGTACTCGCCGGGAAGGTCAGACCCAGCAGTAGCACCGCCGACAGACACATCTCGATTACATTCCTCAGCCATATGCATCCAGACCAGCCACAGCACGCCCACCTCGAGGCCCAAGACCGAAAAACAACTCGAATCCCAACGCTGATGAATCAAACGTCTTCCTTACCTCATCCTCCCCTCCCTTAAGCGCCCAAACACCGCCGAGCCCGTTACTCCGGGCTGCCGAGTACGCCTCCTACATCGTCTTCCTCCAGATTCTGAAGTGGACCGGTCCTAATTGGGAATTGATCCCGCACATGCCCGAGGATGATGCTGAACACCAATCATGTGATTTGTGTCACGCACGTTCGCGCCTTCTCTTGGTGCTGTCCTAGCGACAGATGGCGCTAGAAAGGACACGTGTTGGAACTCGTGTATACTCGTGTGGAATTCTAGGAATTGGAGTGCTGGAATATGGAATTGCATTGCCGTAATACTGGAAAGTTAGCAGGTCGGCGTGGTTCGTGCAAGGAAGTAGAGTGTTGGAATATTTGGGAAATTGTCAGAGCATCGGCCCGATGCTTCTGTGACCCCTGTTGCTGTGCCTCCTTCGCTTTCTTTCTTTCTTTCCTGCCAAACAAAGCGAGGCCGTGCGCCGGAAAACACGGTCGTTAACTCCAACACCGCTGTCATTCTTCATCTTTCATCTTCACCTTCATCTGTTGCGCCTGCAGTGCTACAGTGCCCCTCTTCCAGGTGGTCATAACCCGTCAAACAAGAGCCTCCTATCCAACGTGCTCTCACTCTCGTTTCTTCATCAACTAGCAGGATTCCCGTGCTTGTTTGTACATACCCATACGTGCCTGACCCCTGGTTCTTTCTGTTCACTCTTCCGGTACTGGTCTAACTATCAACTCCCATGTCCCGCCTATCTCCGGACATGCGTGCAGAAGCACCCTCACCCTCGCCCTCAGCTCATCCAGAGCCTCCATCACAGGTGCGTCCCACCCGTACATATCACACGGGCGCTTATCCGTCCTTTCTCGTCTTCCCTAGAACACGCGCACAGGAGGCGACGCCTTCGAGCTCTACGGCATAGGATCCGGGTTCCCAGGCCAAGCATATGCAGGCACGCACCTCCGTGTCCCGCCTGCGCCGTTTGTCCCCCCTCCCCCTCCTCAAGGCGAGATGTCGGCGGGACAGCTCCAGCCGCCTAGGTCCACTGGCGCCGGGGCGAGGCGGCATAAGTCTAGTCATGCGAGGAGGATCGTACGTCTTCCCCGTGAGTGATGTGCGTGTGACTGACTCGCAACCGGGATTCGAGCAGGCAAAGGCATGTGCTCCATTTTTCCCTTCTTGCCCTTTGCTCATGCTCATGCGCACTAGTCTCCCGGAGAGACGAAACGCTTCTTAGAGGGTGACTCTGGGGCGAGCATACGCGAGCTTCCCCTGAGCCAGAGACACAGGGATTGGAAGCTCTGGTCCGTGTATGTTAAGGAAGCGATGGAGCGGGACCACGAGCTCACGCAGGACTGGGACGAGGATATGGACGTCTTGCTTATTTTCGTAGGCTGCTCCTGTGCCCCGCACTTGACGAGTGAGGCTGACGCACACCAGGCAGGCTTGTTTTCCTCAGTGGTCACTTCATTCCTGTCTCAGAACGCGATCAATAACCTTTCTCCGCCACTCGATTCGTATGCGCTCAACGTTTCCCTCTACCAGCTGGGCGGGGGGGCGCCGATCAACTTCACATCTGACTGTTCGAACTACGCCCTCGAGAGCCCGTATAACCCTGCATGTTTTACCGCCGCTTGGCAGGATCAGCTCGTCAATGGGTTCTGGTTCGCTGCGCTCACGTTTAGGTACGTGTATGCTCCTGGTCCGAGGCAGTTACTTATTGCCGAAAAAGTTTGTCCGCAGCTCTACTGGCCATGTTGTCCAAAACCTGGATACGCGAGTACTCTTCCGGCCTTGCCCAGATCCCCTACGACCAAGCCAGACAGCGGCAGTACCGGTATGCAGGGCAAAAGCGCTGGAAGCTCGGGGCATTAATCAACTCCCTCATGATGCTGCTCCATATTTCCGTCTTCCTCTTCTTTGCAGGAGTGATCGTTTTCCTCGGAGAGACGGACAACGGTGGCCCGGTCTTTAAAGCCATCTCCACTCTGTTCGCAGCGACGCTCACGATCTACGCGGTCATCTCCTCCCTCCCCCTTATCTTCCCAGACTGCCCATACCGCTTCCCGCCAATGAAAGTCTTCCGTGTCTGGATACTGCAGAAGATGCACAAGCGCTGGCGGGGGAAAGCGACTTTCCGCGAACAGGAACTGGGCGTCATCGAGCAGGATACGGCGGTGGTCGAGGCGTCTGCCCTTGCCTGGCTGTTGAAAGTCTCGGAAACGTCGGAGGAGAAGGACGATGTAGAGGACGCGGCGCTCGCTGCGATGGACCAGCTTACGCAGAGCAACGAGCAGCGGAACGCTATGCTCCGTGAAGGGATCTTGCATACGTTATATCGGTTGTTCATGGACTGCGAGGAGGACGAGGAGAACCGCATGGTTAGGATCTTACCTGCTATCGAGGCGCTGTGGAAGTCGGACGAGACTACCCCCGGAACGCAGTATACGGCCAAAGAGCGCGTGCCGTCAGATGATCTGCACATCGCTTTCTACAACAAGCTGGTCGAGGTTTTGGAGACGTCGCAGAGTCAACGATTGCTGGTAAGTACATCTATGCGTTTGCGCATGCTGGCTAAATCGCTCTTGGTATTAGGGTGCAGCGATCCAACTACCCAAACAGTTCTCTGGATACCCAGTTGCCGAATGGCCTATCGCCTCGCGATTATCGATTCCCAAGATGATTGACCAGCTCGAGAACGACAGATTCAACACCGAGGGCGGGCTGACCGCGGCGCTTAATCTCATCACCAGAGTCTTCCGTTTCAGTCGTGCGGGGATGGTCAAACGCGCCCATCGAAGTATCACTCAAGAAGACCTTCGACGGTCGATCCCCTGCATCTCGGAAATATTGATCCTTTCTCATTCTCCTGTTGTCACTACGAGCGCCCTTGCGGTTATTGACGAGATCTACGAATTCTTGGATCACAGCCTCGATACCCGGGCGCCGTCCGGATGGCTTCGGGAGAACACGAGCCTCTTCCTCGGCCAGAAGGGGTTGTTGACTGCGCTGCTCTCCCAGCTGTCGGTACACTCCAGCTGCCCTGATCCAGAGAAGATGCTCGTGCGCCAGGTCATCGACTACGTCCTCCGGGAGAGAGAAATCCGAGAAGACTGCCTATCTTGGGTTATCGCGCAAGATTACCTCAAGGCAGTCACCGACGACCTGAGGAACTTTGTCTGGAAGTCGGACATGAATGTCGACATTATCACCCCCGTCTATCTGTGGGATCAGCTCTCGCAAGAAGGTCGATTTACAGAACACCTGCGCAAGTTCATGGAGGCAGGCTCGATCGAAGCGCTCGCGGCGTATTTCAGCCGAGATCAAAACCCGGTTCCGAATGCAGACGTGTATGCTGGCATCCTCCGACGACTCCTGCGACTCGTCAATGGCTCGTACAGCACAGTGATACGGGAGAGCAGACTGATGGAACTGATGGCCCAGCGATGCCCTCGGATCTTACCGGAGCACCTCCGTACGGATTCACAGCAGGACTTGGCGAGTCAGATGGATCTCGTCAGGGAGTACTTGCGGACGGGCCTACTGGATCCCAGGCTGGAGCCGCCGGTGCAGATCCATATTGAGGACGAGGATGATATGGACGTGGAAAGCAGTCAGGAGGACGAGAGCGGGAAGTTCCTTCCACCAGATATCACTCTTGAGTAAGATCAAATTATACCAGAGACGGTTTATCATGGGTGTATTTGTAACGGCAGAAGACTGATAGGTTCGAATATTTAATGATTATCAGGGCGTTTTGCATACACATGGGCTTAGGATCCAAACAAGCGGGATCGATGCTCTGAACACCAGGTCCAGTTCGTCTTATATCCACTGCAGCCCATTCGGTGACAACGAGTCATTAAGAGAACAAACAGACGCATTCCCGCTCCTTGTGGTGGGATGGTGACAGCTCAGCAAGAAAGGGGGTTTCCGGACACTGCCACAACAAACGTGAGACCTGCTCCGCGTGGGCAATTGATGGGTTTGCGCTCAGCCTAATCCCGGTTCTTGACAGAGGCGCTTATTGTCGTTAGGATGAGAACCTCAAATAGGCCCTGCTGGACACCTCTGAGGAGGTGTATGAGTTGCTTAACGACTCGACGTGCAGAACCCAAGTTTCGTTCTGTGCAAAGAAGACGATCTCCCTTCTTCTACGACTCTAACTATGGCGCTAAACTTTGGCGCTGGTGCTCGCCGGCTGCCCGTACCCCCTGCCTACTCACAGCAGCAGGTGAGTAATTCATGGAATTTCCCCCGTTCTTGCTCTGTTCTGAGCTGCATGCAGAATCCTCATACCATTGACGCATTTGAAGTGTACGGCTTAGGCAATGCGGGTGTCGGGTATGGGGGCATCGGTTACGCCGGGGGTCATATTCAGCAACTGGCTGGGCAATCAAACCTCCGATCTCATCGCCCAAGCGGTGTCCCGAATGAGGGTGGCACGCTTCATAGGAGAACACGCAGAGTTTATCCAGCCACGGAAAACATTGTGGTGTGTCTGATAATTCACCCTGGCGCTCCTCTCGGCTCAACCACTGAAATTTTAGAGAAACGCAAGTATTCATCATTCCTTCTCATCAAGTCTCTATATAACAAGTTCTTCTTAAGGAGTCACCCGTGGACGAAAAGACATTCCTTGACGCAGATGATGTATCCTCTACCATTCGAGAGATCCCTCTGGCTGAAAGACAACGGGACTGGAGGATATGGCCCATCTATGTCAAAGAAGCGACTGAGAGGGACATGAAGCTTGCCAAAGACTGGAACGAAGACATGGACGTCCTACTAATCTTTGTGCGAATTTCGGTTGTGATCCGTCTCTGTCGGCTGATCGGGGGGTAATAGGCAGGCTTGTTCTCCGCCGTCGTCACTTCTTTTCTCTCACAGAACGCAATTAGCAATCTTCAAACTCCATATGATCAATACACCGCGGCGATTGCACTTCAGCAGCTCAGCGGCGTCTCTGTTCAGCTCACAGGGGACTGCTCGAATTCTATAGATCAACAATTCAATTCGTCATGCTTCCAGATCAACTGGCAAGATCAGATGGTCAATGGATTCTGGTTTGCAGCTCTGACATTCAGGTATGTCAGACAAATAGATATAACCAAGCCTTCGTTGATTCATCTTGTAGTCTTTCCGCTGCCCTGCTGGCCATGTTGTCCAAGACCTGGATTCGGGAATACTCGTCGGGATTGGCCGCAGTTCCGTATGATCAGGCGCGTCAGCGGCAATATCGCTTCACTGGCCAGAAGACATGGAAATTTGGAGCAGTACTCAATTCACTCTTGACATTGCTTCATATCTCCGTGTTTCTCTTCTTTGCTGGTCTCATCGTCTTCCTGGAAGAACTGGATATTACGGTATTTCAAGCGACCACGACTCTATTCGCGGTAGTCTTGGCTCTGTATGCCGTCGTCTCAGCTCTTCCCCTCTTGTTCCCTGACTGCCCATTCCGCTTCCCGTTGATGAAGATACTGCGCGTCTGGCTGCTACAAAAGATCCGATCCAGACGGCAGCAAACGTCGTTCCGCGATCAAGAGCTGGCGAAGATCGAACAAGACTCGTCCGGGATCGAGGCACGTGCCCTTGCCTGGCTTTTGCAGATCTCCGAGATGTCTAGCGAGAAGGAAGATGTGGAAGAAGCCGCTCTGGCTGCCCTGAAGCACTTGACTCAGAACGAAGAGCAAGCCAAGGCGATGCTGAAGGAAGGAACCTTACCCACGCTATACCGCCTGTTCATGGACTGCACTGACGAGGAGGACGAACGCACTGTGCGTGTCATGCGGGCGATCGATGCACTGTGGAGGTCAAATGCCATGGTATCATGGATCAGTAGCAAGGATCGCCGCGCTCCATTGTCTGATCTGCATGTCGCCTTCTTCGCCAAACTCGTTAATCTCTTGGAAACCTCGGACAAACACCGCATTGTGGTCTGTCTATCTGAATCCCATATGAATATTTCTCATTCAAAGTAACGTAGGAAGCTGCTGTTCAACTTCCCAACCAGACCGCGGGTTTTCGACACGCCACATCCCCTATTGTAGCTCAAGTGTCCATCCCAAAACTGATTGACCAACTAGAGAACGATCGGTTCGCCACCGTAGAGAGCATCATGGCTGCCTTGAACTTGATTTCCCGAATCTTCTGCTTCAGCAGAAATGAACAGAGCGGCCGAACGATTACGAACGAAGACTTACGACGCACAATTCCGTGTGTCGCCGAGAGTCTCCACCGTGCACCTTCACAAGAAGTGACGTCGAGTGCTCTTGAAATTGTGGAAGAGATTTTCCAGCTTTTTAGCTACTCTGTCTCGCGTTTGCGCATATCTGAGTGGCTGGAGAAGAACCTCGCTCTGATTGTGGACGAAGAAATCGGGCTTCTTGGCGCGCTGCTCGCCCAGCTAGGCAAGAAGACGTTATCCAAAACGGAGAAGACGCTGGTGCGACAGTTTTCCTCATACCTCATGTCCTTCCAGGCCATCCGCAGAACCGGCGTGCCCAAATTGGTGTCACACGGTTACCTCGTATACATCACCCACGACTTGCAGCGTTTCTCACTCCAGCGGGACGAAGTGAGCGACACGAGCCCTGTGGACCTATTCAACCAAGTATCCAAAGAAGGCAACTTCACCGATGCCGCGCTAAAGGACAGGTTCCTTCAAGCAGGATCGATCGAGTCTCTTGCCACCTACTTCAGCCGGGAACCACGCAACCCCGACCCCGGTGCAGATGTATTCGCCGGTCTCCTGCGTCGCCTCCTCCGGCTGGTCAACGGCCCGCATAAAACGAGGCTGCAGCAAACACGCATCATGGAGATCCTCATTGCTAGGTGTCCCAGCATCCCTGAGGAGCCAGAGAGGAGGGACGAAGACGATGATGACCTCCTGCGACAGATGGACCTCGTGCGCGGCTTCTTAGCGGACGGGACGCTAGATCCTGGCTGTGTACCCCCGGTTCAGATAGATGAAGAGAACATCGAGGAGGAGCCGGAACTGGAGCTGGAGGACCCAAATTTAGAGGAAGCCCACATCCAGCAAGAAGGGCTGGAGTATCGTGTCCTGGAGGAAGGACTTCCTACGGTGGGGTCGCCGTATGAGCTGCACCCACCAATGGTCGGGTACCCGGAAGATGGGCCGCAAGTCGGCTCGCCGTATGAGCCACAGTAGGCTCTCTTTGGTTCTGGATAGCATGGTATCAGCTTGGGATTCCTTGTTTGTTCTTTTGATGATATGTATCCCCCTATTGCGCTTCGTCGCACGCCTCTCAAATCTCTTGTACTACCCTCACAGCCTTCTGTGCCACTCCACTCGTAGTATTGACGCTCTCGGGAGCCGCACAGATATTACCCAAATGATACAGTACAGTACCGCAACCCCATACAAGCTACCTCCGTCTCCTGACCGGTAACTGCCTTGCCGTCTCCCTCCGCAACCTCCGGATCGCTCTCTCCCTCTCTCCCTCCCTCCGCTCAAGCTCTTCCTCACTCAGCACTTCCAGCCTAGGCGTACCCCCGCTGACCCAGCCATGAGGGGGCACCTCCCTCCATATCCCTACTCCTTCTTTCGGTCGTGCCCTACTTTGCGGCACACCACCAAGGACGCCCGAATCTATTGCGTCCTTCTTCCTTCTTAGGAGTTCTTCGGTCAGTGCATGCGCTATGAGAGGGGTGGATGAGGTAGGAAGGGAGAGGTCGGAGGCTAGCGTGTGTGCTAGAGCGGATGGGGAGAGGACGTCGGAGCTGGAGGGATCGAGCGAGTACTCGATCGTATCCATCAAATGGTACGCAGCGATCTGCACGTCAAGCTGTCTTCCTGTCAGCTTAGTGCCTCAGTTCACCTGAAAACACTCACGTTCAACAGCACTCTGCAGTCCGGTCCTTCCTCGTCATCTTCCTCTACCTCGTCTTCGCCAAACGTGGCAATCCCTTCGTTGTCCTCTATCTGCGCGCGGATCATTGCGACCACCTGATCAGCATAGCTAAGGGGCACGTCGATTTCGGACAGGAACTGGTGGGCGAAGGCTTCTGGCTGGAGATGCGATTCGTACAGATTCCAGAGGAAACAGTCCCTAATGCGGTGGGTGGTGGTATCGAACTCGACGCGGATGGGGATGAGGCATTCGCGCGTGGAGGAGTTTTTGTCTATCGCCTCTTGTGTTCTGCGCAGAATGGTTATCAGGATCGTCCCCAAATTAGGGATTATCGCGACTCACATATGAGGAACAGGCATGAGGGACACGGGAGTTTTGGAGATGTACTTTTTCGGCGGAGGCTCGCCTAGCCACGTCCGATCTAGTTCAGTCGACTCTTTCTTCGCAGCAGTCTTTGCACCCGCTCCGCCAGCAACAGGCACCGACGCGCCTTCACCGGCATACTCGCTCCCCTCTTCTTCTGGCTCTTCCTCTTCCTCGTCTGACTCGCTAAAGGAATCAAGCTCGGCGTAGTTGATCGCTTTGCCTCGCCTGCTCCTGCCTCCATCGGCAGGTACAGCAACGAAGGTGTTGGTGCCACTAGTTGTAGGAGCAGGAGGTGCGAGATGCAAAGGCTGGACGAGCAGTGTACTACCAGTTCGGAGGCGCGACGGGAATGTAGTTTGTAGCGCCTGTTTTTGTGGGCGAGGAATACGCGGGTTCGGGCCAGGAAGGGGAGGGAGCGTTTGGGCCGTAGGCTGGGTGTACTGGGCTGCGCCTGACTGCTGTGCAGGGGCAATTGCTACAGGTGTAGCTGAAGCAGAATGTGCGCTCGCCGTCCTCGCATACGGCTGGTAGCGCGTCGGTGTTCCCTGTGGCGCTGGGGATACAGCATGTGACGCCGGTCTGCTGCGTGTTGAACGCCGTATTGGCCCTATAGATGGTGTGATCGTCCCCGCTAGTTGGAGTGAAGACTTTGATGGCTGCGGGACGGGTGCATGATGGCTGAGAGGAGTAGAGACGGACATGGTCGTTCAGTTGCAAGGGAACGGTCGTTTGATGAGCGGTGAACATTTATTATTTCATATTCATTCAACGCGCATCTGTTTCCGCGGAATCAGTTACGCGTCGAGCGCTAATCCAAATCTTATTTGGTGTCCTTCTAACTTTACTGTATACAATCACCACGTACTCTATTCAACTCCACCAACAGCCTGAACTGCAACTTCCCCTCCAGCGTCCTTCTTCCCCTCAGAAGACGTCGAAAGAGTCTCACTTCGCTCTTGGTCCCTAGCAGGCTCAGGGTCGACGTTCGGCACTGGGCCTTTGAACCAGCTATACCCGCCGTACTTAGGAAAGTAGTAGTATGCCAACGACAGGAACAGGATGCCGCCAAGAACGACGACGCCTTGGCACGCGTTAGCCTAGGTTATTGCCCTGGGAAAGAGCGAACAGTAGTTCATATCAGTAGGGTCTGGCCCAGACCCCCCGGGGAATAAGAATATTATCTGAGAACGCGTCAACGCCGTCCATTCAGTGTGGTCTATAACTTACTTCCATAAACGTCATATAAGCCACAGCAACTACCGCTACCGGTAGTCCAAACCGGCCAAGCGTGAACGGGCCGGGTTGGAAATCGTTCTTGAAAGCGAACCTGCATACAATCGGGACGGACCAGGTGATGTAGTACGCTTTCCCCTCTTCAGCCGTCATACGTACTCTGGCGTAGGAGCACGTACCGACAACAGCGAGAGCAAATATGGCACCTATTGCTGCCGCACCTGCGAATGCCAGTGCACAAAGGGCGATCCCTCCCACGGCACAGAGCAGTACCGCGTTCACGGGCACATGGGTGCGGCTGTTCATCCGCGCCAGATAGGGGGAGAGAGGCAGCGCGCCGTCCCGCGCGAAAGCGAATATCTGCCGGGAGGAAGACATTATTTGGCTACTGCCGATCATGTACTGGCCTATGATGACGAAGGACCATACTGCGAGGGTGCTGCGTTGCCCAAAGCTGTTGTTGAAGATCTACAACGCTTCAGCCTGTGCCTTTGGGAGCGGAAGAAGACGATTGCGTACAGTGGCCATAGGCTGCCCGATCGGGCTGTTGACGATGCTCTCCAGATCAGTACCCATGCAGAAAGCCATAGCGACATTGATCGCCCATCCCAGCGTGCAGCAGGCGAAGACAGCACTGACCATCCCCCACGGCACAGCGATCGCGGCATTCGATGCCTCCTCGCTGATGTGTACGCACCCGTCAAAGCCGCTTACAGACCAGGAAGGGGCAAGCCAGCCTAGCATATAGGCGAAGCCCGGGTTGGACCAGCTGCTTACTGGGAAAGCTGGTTAGAGGCGGCTATGATGGAGGAAGGTACGACGGACGGTTTGTGAAGTTGCCGAAGACGTACGAGGCGGGGTTGCGTAGTTCACTAGGGGTCGCTGCGGGGAGCGCGATGATGACAGCGATTGACAAGCTGAACATAGGATTAGTGAGGTCAGTCTAGTCGAGGGAGAATAAGCTCACGCCAAGTTCACCAAGACGTAGACGCTCTGTAAGCGAGCAAGTACAGCTGTTGCGAGACATGCCAATACTGCCTGCGAAAGGATAATAAGCACCACGACAGCACTGCACGAGATTAGTCCACGCTCAGATTGGGAATGGAACGAGCACTCACAAGGTCTGACCAAGAGTAGTTGTAAAGGTCCCTCCTGAACCGATGGACGCTCCAGCCATAATCATCACTGCGCAACCCCAATCCGCTGATGCGACACCGGCGATGTTGGCGATCGAGTTGGTGTCTGCGCTCGGTACTGAATAGCACTTCACAGGAAGAGAAGATAGACATACATCCGACGATCCAGCACAAAACTGTGCGCCATCTCGGAGAGGAGAAGGAGTAAGTCCAGAAGTACAACTAAACCGTCGTTTAGTACCAGCAAATGGATGTGGCATGTCGACCTACTCCACCAGATGTAGGCGCTCCGCTTCCAAGCTCCGCCAACGCAAGAGCGATCGCCATGATGAAGAAACTGCAGATCGCCCAAGACCATACCATGGACACTGGTCCACCGTAGGGTACAGCATATATCAACACTGATCTAAGAGAAGCCCATGAGACATGTGCGGGAGGACTAAACCAGCGCACGTACGAGAGACTTGATAAACCGCCAATGATACTCAGCGCGATGCTTAACTGGGTTCAATATCGCTCGAGAACGCAAAGACACCCTCTTACCCAAATGTCTGCCAAAAATGGTCAGCATCGCGTGGAGTCATGCTGGTTGACATACCTCTAAAGGCGTAAAAGCCCTTTTGAACTCCTGCTTGTAGCCGAGTGATGCCAACAGTTTTTCGTCAGCAACTCGATGCCGTTCGGCTTCTTTCAGTCCGAGTATTTGCAGTATCGTCATGACAGGACTGTGCAGAAAGACAAGTTAACTGCCACTGCTCCTGCTTCTTATCGCCTATTGAGTTTCGATACTGTATTGATTCTCTAAACCTTCAAGCGACGGTCTGTATGGATCCCGAATTCCAGTAGCATCCAATTTCCAAATGGGGACGAGATATGGTGCATGATAAGTACTCCACGTCGTGTTTTTTTTTCGGTAAGCTGACTGAGAACTGGGTGGCCGATAAGAAGGCTTGATACCATGGGGCGAGGTTGCCAGCACATCATATGTTCGTAGAAATGCCAAAGAAGCGCCAATAGGATCCAACATTCAGAGTACTAGCACAAAAGCACGGAAGTCAGATGCTGACAGTGCTGGGTTGTACAATGGTGTATCGAGGTTCATTCCCGTGGGTAGAAAAGTGCTGTCACTGTGCTTAAAGTCGCTGGGTGATCCAGCTCGGAATGCAGTTCAGATGTGCACATGCTAGATGAAGTTATACGCCCAGCGTTGATCTGAAAGTTGTAGGTATCGTCAATAGTCAAGTTCAGCGTAGAACGAGGACATGCACCCCCATCTTGAGCCCAGCAATCGTATCTTGGAGCTGGCTGGCGCTCTCGCGTCGATGGAGTGAGCGCGTAAGTTTCTCCGATAGACGCGTCTTCATCACGGGACCAGTTACGAGATGCACGTGCTCATAGAGCGCGTCTTCTCTGTCAGATCATCTTGTCCTTCAACACCCGCCGCTCACCATCCACTCGCTGACCTCCCACTGTCTATCCCACGCCATCCTCTTTCTTTCGCTTGCTTGGATAAATGGACGTTGAGACGCCACGCGCGACGCGTGTTGCATCCACAAGCGGATACTCATATGAAGAGAAACAAAGCATCCTCGAGAATCTGGACATTGAAGGTTCGTTATCACAATAATGCACGCGATCTTGTCCCGATATACTTGTTTTCAGTGGCCGACAAGAAACGGCGTTTTGATGATTATCTTGACCGGCTGCTCAAGTCTTTCCTCCTCCGACAGGAGAGCGAGGTGACCCGGATTCCCCGTTCCATCCGGGGGATGACTGTTCGCGAGTTTGGTGAGAAGTACCAGGGCGACATACGGTTCTGTATGGAGGCTATGGCAAGGGAGAGGTTGGGGGAGGAAGGAATGACGGAGATTGATGCGACTGCGAGAAAGAGGTGCGCGCGCTGCAACCATGTGTACAAGACGAAAGTTGATAGGCGAAACAGAAAGAGACAAGAGTTCTCTGCTTCCCAAGATTCCGAAAACACCAAGCCCACTAAGACTCGTATGTTTTTGCTTTCGTCAGATATTTTGATTTCAGCTCATTCACTATCTTGTAGCCCGTCAAGTCCAACCCTCTGCGAAGAAACCTGCTCCGACCCCTGGTCGGACACCCGGAAGAAGGCTATTCAGCAAGCCCGCGCGTTCACCTGTATGCTCCTCCTTCCCACTATTTTGTCATACTAAAATCTCCGTTTAGTTGGCGCCGAAGAATGGCCCTGATGGCTTCCGATCCATCATTTCGTCGACACCTCTGAAGCCCTCTGCATCTGCCCCGCTACTATCCCCGAACAAGAGGGCTCCTCCGCAAACTAAGTCCTCTCTCCGCCCTCCCATGGCACAAACGTTCGACCCATTACTCCCTATCACGCCCGCCTTTCCCCGCAAGATCCAACGGCATGAGAGTCTCCTCTCAATGAACGGTTCCCCGCTGGAGAATCCGTACGTGCTCATGGGACTTGACGTGGAGAGCAGCGGGGAGCACCACTTTCCCGGAGCGTTCGACCCCTCCGGTTTCCATGATAAAGGCAAGAAACGCAGCAGCATCGCTGTGCACCGCCGCGGGCCAAATCCCTCTACTGCTACCGGCTCTCAAAAGGACACGGCACAGGGCTCAGTGTTTCTTAGCGTGCCAACGAAAGACGGCCAGGTGCTCAAGTTCGATCCTCTCCGCGCCCACCCCTCTGAGCTCGAGGCACTTGAGGGTATCACCGACAGTGCTAAGAAGAAGGCGAAGGAGGACATGGTTAAGCTTGTACAACAAACCCTCAGCAAGTGGACGTTGTGACCGCAGACACGCGATCATCCCGATGTAGTTTTGGTATCGTTCTTTCTCCTATCATTTTCGTCGTTTTTGAGTTATCTATGTTGCAATACAGATCACAGTATACCTCTGTGACGTAGTTCGCTTGGCGCATCTCTTGATACATGCGCCCTCGGCACCCGCTGGAAGAACTTTAACGCCCAATGCTATATCAATCGCAACGGAAGATAGACGATTAAGCTCGGTTTCCGTCTTCTTCCTGCTTTCGCTGTTTTTACTGCAAGTCATCTGCCTCCCACGGTCGTCACAAGAAACTTGACGATGTTACTGTTATCCGATCCATGAAGCAGGGCATCTGATTGTATGGGTACGATCACGTTTCTTCGCCTTGGTTTTGCGGCCCCGTCGAGCGTCTACCGGGGTTACCATCATCACCGGGCATAACGCGAGAAAGCATACCTTCAGCATTTCCCGCAGAACACCGCCTCTGGAGATTGTAGCAATTCCAGCATGACTTAAAGCGCCGTCCTTTGGTCTTGAAACAGTCTTTGCCATGTTCCTCACAATAGGTGCACTAATACTCTGGTGGGGTGAAAGTCGACAACACACGTCTGCGGCCACCCGCTCACCAGCGACTCAACCGCAAAGTTGCACGCACTTCATTTCCTCTTGGTATGTATGTACATATGTACAGTACGTGATGGCTTCATCTTTGCGCACATACGGTCAGCCGACGTGCCGCTGCTATTCAGAGAACGCGACTCTCTCACTAATCTTCTTAGATCGAACTTTGAGTCCGCACTTTTCACGATTCATGACCCCCAACCAAGATGTCTTGCGTGTCGCCCTCTGACTCGCACCCGGCATTTTCGCATATGGACAATGCTGGTGGCTTGTTACGCTTATTGCCCACTTGGACCTTGCTGATGTTGGATCTTGAGAGAACGACTCTGTACCTTCTGGACTGCCCGCGAATATTGCTCCGATCTGTGATCATCGTCCTCGCCGGACTCCTAGCACCTCTAGCTCCGCGCTCCACTAGCATGGCGTTTGCGCCGGTGTCTCTTCGCTGTTGACCCTCGATGGAGACCACTACTTACTTGGATTCTTTGCTCTGAGTAATAAGGAGGACGAATAGCGGCGTATCCCCCAAACGAATTGAGGACCGGCGATACTTCAATGACCGCCTTATTCTCCGTGCAATGAGCCACTGCCGGGTGATGGTTCTGTCCTCTAAGTCTGGCTGTACGCCCCCCGCAGCTGATGAGATTGGCTGTACTACCTCCACTCCGACGGGCACATGACGATTGATGGATCTTGTGACCTGATATGCAGTCCATGTTGCACACTTCCTGCTGGATGGGGTCGTAGGAGTTCTCGTTTTAGCTCGGCAACATCTTTCCGTGAGAACAAAGTGCGATGCGGATCACGTTACGCGGAATTCGGCAGATCAACATTGGAACCATTGCATCCCGACATCTTCGGTGTTTCTTCTAGCTGTCCCGACCCTGCAACCAAAAATAGGCAAGGAGCAGCAACTCGATAGTGCGGCTCGCCCACAGTTTACCTGCACATACATGACCCCGGTATTGATGACCTGTGACAGACAAGATATAAAGGCAGTCTAGTTTCTGCCGATATGCTCACAAGCCCAAACCGCGTCACACAGGATCACACAGTATCTACATCATGAAGCTTTCCTACCCTTTGACTCTCGCGGCCATGCTTCTCGCCGGACAAGCCCAAGCGGCTGCTGGTATGTTCTCATAACTATCCCCCTTAACCGTGCTGACTGGCATACACTTGAACGTGAAAGCTGCCCTCTCATGTGCACCCTCGCGTTTTTCCCTGATGCTGACCCTGTGTTCGTCCTGACATGTTAAGTGTGTACGGGAAATGGGATGTCTAACGTCCTAGCAGGCAGGGGGATGCAGCTTTCCAGTTGTGCATTGAAGCTTCCTACAGTGTTTCCAATTACAACACTGGTGGGATCTGTGCGCCATCCTGCGAGGTTGCGTCCAACCCCAGTAAGGGAGATTTCTTCTATTGGTACGATCGAGTTCTGATTGGATAATTAGGTGGCTGGGATTTGATTAGCGTTCAAGGCAATGGTTACACCTGCCTTGACTAGTAAGTGTCTCCCGTACAATGCTTCAAGAGTTTCCTGACGGATTGCTTCCCAGGAGAGATGGCGGACTAGTCGTGTCGACGAAGGACAAGGGATGAAACCTTAGTGCCTCATAAGTAGATGACCTTCATCCCTGTATCAATGAATTCTTCGTTTCCTGGCAATAGTGTGAACGGTTATGACGCTCCCATCAATCCCCAGTCCTGGGCCACAACCTGTTGTAGGGGCGCATTCAATTCCGCAACTCGGGGGACGTGATATGAGTGAGGTATAGACATGTTGAGAGAATATGTGAAATGATCAACATAAGGTGCAATAGACATCCATTGTACAGAAAAAGATGTGCAGACCTCCGTCCCGACATCACCATTTTCTCCTCGCGGCCTTCATCTCTTGCCTTCTCCTGTTCGTTAGCCTTCCTTTCTCCCCCCTCACATGCTGCAAATCCAAGAACTTCCTCTTCGCATATGCCCTCGCCTCCGCATCTTCCACTAGCTCGTCTACAATACTCTTCTTCTTCTCGGCCTTCGTCAGGTTCTTCCTCGATGCTCGCTCGAATGGGCTCTTCGTCTCGACAATCTTTCCCAGCTGAATGTACTTCGGTACATCCTGCTTCATGGCCTCTTTACGGAGGAACGTCTTTGGGTCGAGTGCAGCAGCCAACCGCGCGGCCTCCATCTCTCGCTTGATCTTGGCCAGCTCAGTGCCAGACGGGGAGGGCATATCGAACCAGCCCGGACCTGCGGTTTTCTCACGCAGCTCACGTTTTTGCTTTTTGCTGAGCCGCTCGGGTTCAATGTCTGCCTTGCGTTTCTGCGTGGCTTTCGAAAGTCGTTCGGCGCCAGGGTCTGCAACGAGCTTTGGGGCATCGGTCTTAGATGTAGGGGTTGTGAAGTATGGCTTGGGGGCGAGAGTGCCAGCATCAATTTTTGGTAACGGTCTATATGGCGTGAGAAGCCTCGAAATAAATAAAAGGAGGAGTCTGGCGTACCGATCATCAGATACTTTGATGACATCCTCCTGCAGGGCAGCCTTCTCCGCCAGGCGTTGCCGTTGCCTTTCTCTTGCTTTGTCCAACAGGGCGTTCAGCCGCTCAGAGGTAATAGAGTCATCGCTTTCTTCCCCTGATCCATCCTCATCATCTTCATCATCGCTCTCGCTCTCCTCAGTGTCATCTTCGGATGCATCGCCGTCATTGCCGTCGTCACCGTTCTCTACGTCGTCCTCACCCGAATCAAGCAACTGGACAACATCGTTATTATCTGCGGTCTGCGGGTTGACATTCGACGGTCCAGACATTTGCACGGAAGCGGCGGCGGCAACAACAGTAACAGGCATATTCGAGTCTCGATCAATGCTCAACAGGTTGCTCAAGGCTGGACAGGATTTCGATCCAAGCAAAAATCACAAGCGCCCAATAATTTGTTTCCGTTACTGAGCGCCCTGTGTTCGGTTTTTGGCCAGGGTCTGAAATTTCCCAATCCTCTCACGACCTCCCCTGAGTATACCCCACAAGACAAAATTCAACACTAAAATGGCCCAGAGAAAAGTCAAGAGCGGAGGGCTTGAGAAAAAGGAACCTTCAAAGGAGATTGACCGGCGAAAGTCGAAAATTCGGGCTCCGGTGACGCATGAGGACTTGGGGTTGGATGAAGAGGAGACCTGTATGTTTTTTGTTCTGTGTAGCGAAGATGAGGTTTCTGACAGAGTCGATAGGGCACAAGGATAAAGACAAAATTCTACTGGAGAATGACAGGGTGGACGAAGATACCGAGGATGAAGAAGTTTTCGCCCTGAAGGGAATCTCAGATTGTGAGGACGAAGGCGATCTCGAGGAGGAAGAAGCTGAAGAAGACCAGGACGAAGAACTTGCTGCACCACCTCCGAGGAAGTCAGCAAAATCCAAGTCCAACGCTAAATCTACGGTCCAAGATGCTGGCCTGTCATCCGAATCTGAAGACGAAGACGAGTCAGAAGAAGAGACGTGGGGCACGAAGAAGTCTGCTTATTACACAGTCCCTGGGGAGGACGAGGAGACTGAAGACGAGGAAGCACGAGCACTCGAAACTGCTGAGGCAAAAAGATTACAGCGCAAAGCTAGAGAGGGGTTGGAAGAGGATGATTTCGGACTAGGAGGGGTAGAGGATGAACTAGAGGAGGTTGAGTGAGTCTTGTTCTGCATTAAAATAAGTTAGGACTGAACACTAGTAGCGCGGCGATGGAAGAGCCTGCTCCGGTGGAGAAAAAACAGGAGCTGCCGAAGGATAAGGAGGGTTTGAAGCGACATCTGGAGCTCCATTCGCCGGAGACGCTCGCGCTTGCCAGGGAATGGGGAGACATAGTCTACCGAATTGGGGAGATCAAGAAGCTCATTGAAAAGTACGTACTATATGAACTTTCAAATTGACTACATGCTGATTTGATTTTCTAGTCAACCGGCGGACACGGAGCCCGATTTACTGGGTATCATGCACTCGCATTATCAAGTACTCTTAACATATGCCACTACGCTTGCCTTCTACTTACACCTCCGCGCCACCCCATCTCACGCGACTTCCCCCTCCCCTCTCTCTGATCATCCCGTTCTCGACAGGCTCCTCGAGCTCAAGCAGTTCCTGCACGTTATGGAGAGCTACAACTTTGCCGCTGATGACCCTCTGCGGACTGGGGAGCTCGAGGATGAAGACGATGAAGAGGGGATGGATGGAGTTTGGGATCTAAAGAAGAGGATGGGGCTCGAGGATGGAGAGCTAGAGGCGCTCTTGAAGGAGACACGGGGTGTAGAGAAGGAACTTGCTGAGGAAGAGGAACCGGTTATGACTAACGGGAAAGTGAAGGCTAAGAGTAAGGCGGACGGAAAACCTAAGTCGAATGGAAAAGAGAAGAAACCAGTCAAGGAGAAGAAGAAGGGCGTATCGTTCGATCTGGTTCAGCCCGAATTTGTCCCATCGGCACGGAAGCGTCCCTCCGCCTCGGTACCAGCCGATGCTTCAGCCGACGACCTTGCGTATGGAGAGGTGACTACTCTCACCGCTGCAGATTTGGCGGACAAGGCTGCGCGCAAGCGTAGCTTACGCTTCCACACTTCGCGCATCGAGAGCGCGGCTGCACGACGCGATGCGGCACGCCGGAACCGGGAGGGCGGGGACGAGGATATCCCGTACAAGGCGCGCAGAAAGGAGGTGGAGCTGCAGGCGAATGCGAGGGCGGAGGCGCGCCTCAAGAAGCGCCAGGAACAGGAAGGGGCCGAGCTCGACGATGAGGAGTGGGGTGAGAGTGATCGGAAGAGGGCGAGGGAGGCTATGCAGCCTGGGGAGGAGGAAGACTATGAGGGCTTGTATGAGGCGGTTGAGAGAGGTCGGAAGAGGAGAAAACTCGAGAAAAAGGAAGCCTATGATGAAGAGAGAGCAGCCGAACGGTACATCATTCCCCACTCTCGCGGACTTTTACTAATGAATTATGTAGATTTATCCCTGACGAGGAAGGCCCCAATGGCCCGCGTTCCCTTACCCGGGCTATCCTCACGAACAGAGGTTTGGCGCCGAAGCGTTCTAAACTGGCTCGTAATCCCCGCGTCAAGAAACGGGTCAAGTTCGAGAAGGCACAGAAGAAACTGGCGAGTCAGAAGGCCGTGTTCAGGGGTGGCCAGGCTGCTCTCGCTGGAGACTACAGTGGAGAGAAGAGTGGTATTAGCAAGAGGCTCGTCAAGAGTGTTAAGCTATGATTGTATTTCATTTCTTCTACCCTCCGAATCGATCTATTAACGTTCTGTTCTTCTTCAGGTAGAGTTCTAGTAATGTCGGAGTTGTTGGCTATTATTGCTTCTCACAAACTTTCGCGTGTGAGGAGGTTGGGGAATGACTAGGTTGGGGAGCCCCTAGGAGAGCAGCTCAGACCATAAGTGGTCACAGCCAGTCGTTCACACTCTTCCCGCAACCACCACCGGACCACACTTCGTCTTGAAGTATTTACTGTGACTTTTCTTTTACGTGTTTTCGCCTCTAACTTTCTGCTAAAGCTTGTTTCGAGGCAAGTTTTCTGTTGGAAGAGTTCTGATTGAGTACAAACCCGAGCGCCTCGGAAGCAACCGCTATAAGACCCAGCTTAAGGGCCGGCTGCCATCGTCCTTCCTGCAGGGACGCGCGTCGCATCCACTGCAAAATAGGGGCTAGTTGTCGAGGTCGTCGTCGGCGGCCCATACAGCAGCTCGACAATATTCACCATAAATCCTCTTCTAAAGCTGTCTACCCGCCGCCCTTCAAAGCTGCCATGCCAGGATGACATGCCCTCGCCGTCCGTACCGCCCATCTCACTCCCGCCGGGCAAGGGTCACGCCGTGCCCCGCGGCGCGGGACAGCGCATCCGAGTCACGAATCGATCACGACTACGAATCTATTATGGCTCTCTCGAGGCCGACTCCGTCATACTGGATGAGGACGGCTCTGGGAACGGGTTCGCAACGGCTGGTGTTGACGCTGAGGATGCCAAAGTAAGTTTGTTTGCCCACTCATCGTGCCGCGTTTTGCTGCAACGTGGAGGCCTCTGATTGGTTCGGAAGCAATTGGCTCGTCGTCGTTTTGCCTCAATCACGTGACTGACTCTCGCCCTTTCCAGGAACACCACTTGCAAGTTGTGCTCTCATTGCAGTCTTTGGAGGGAAGCTGGAGTAATACCATCAAGGAAGAAGAAGGGGAGAAGGACGAAAAAGATGAATCTACAAAAGAACGAGACGTCCGAGCATTTATTCCCGTGCCGGACGCCGCTGGGCTCATCGCCGATCCTGACTACGAACACCTGTATTCTTCAGGATCACCGTGGAAGGACTCGACCGAGTACATTCGCTTCAGCGATACCATCGATGAGACACTAGAATCGGGGTTGAGAGATGGCTATACGTATGATTTAGACGACGGGGACGAGTATTGGATGCAGCGGCACGAGCAAGATCCCGACGGGCACGGCAACCACACCCCAGGGGGCCGAACATCGCGAATGAAAACAAAAACAAAAGAAATCGACATGCCAGCATTAAACATCGAAAAATCAGAATATGAGCTGGCAATGGGCTTGCTAGAGATGTTATGCGATTCTCTTCGTCCAACACTGCATACCGACTTATCGAAAATTCCCGGCCTCTCAGATATGGAGGAACACTTCGTGCACGAGCTAGAGGAGGAGTATTTCGCGACATATGAGGTACCGTCCACCGTGCCAAAGCCCGAACGATTGTGGTCGTTGGTTCGTACACTATATCCGTTCTGGAAAGAACAGAGACTTGCGCGTGGGGGACATCGCATCGTGCCTCAGCTAAACACCGATGAGACACTCGAAGACGATCACTTCGTTTGTTTCCGGAGGCGTGACCCCAAGGCAATTCGACGTACGCGGCGATCTGACACTACGCACATTGAGAAGCTTGCTCGACTCCGGATGGACTTCGAACAACTCGAGGATATTGCGCGGAGCAGTCTAATACGCGAACAAAAGAAGTCTGACCAAGTACTCTCTGAGCAGACTTTGTACGAGGCAAGGAAGCGATTCTCCCATGTCGCTCGTCGTCCAGAAGTCTCCCATCATCCGGATGACGACAAGCTGCTCCTGCCGAACTATCAAGAGCCGAAGCTGCTCGTTCAGCTGCCGACAAAGAAGGTGCACAGGCTCGAAGAAAGTTTGCTCAGGGAGCTCCAAAGACAAAAGACGGTTAACATGAGAGAAGTCGTTGCGGAGCAAACAAAGCAGGCGTACCGTAAAAGGAAGTTGGAGGATGAGGACTACGAGAACCAGATCACTGTTGGTCCCTTGCCTTATCCTCACCGATGTATTTCTAACTTGCTCGAAACAGGCAATCGCACAGCCAAAGATTCAACGCACGGGCATGTACGAGTTTCAATGGGTGTCTCAGGAAGTCAAGACAGACAATATGCCCCTCTCACCTCGCGTTCTCGCTGAACAAGGTACGAACGTGGGATTCCGTGTACGGCGTGGTCGTGGTGGTACGATCCGCTGCGATCGTCTTCTTCCTCGTCATGCTCGGAGACATCTTGCCGAAGGCAAAGGCCTTTTCACCAGGAAGCCCCTTGCCGTAGAGGCTTCCAGCGACTCTCAGAAAGAAGATGTCTCAGACAGCCTACCGGCCCTCTCATCAGACAGTGATCTCACAGCTTCTTCCAGCGATTCTGAGGGTGCAAAGGAGTCCTTTCGGCGATACTTCTTTGGTACAGTTCAAGCCTCGTCAGATCCAGACTTGGTCAAGCAGGGCATACAGGTTGTGGATGACTATGATGTTCAGTATGTCTTCACCCTCAGCGACAAGGTTTCGCATTTCTCACCGCCTTTTCAGGTTCTCAAGACGTCGTGCTCTTCTCCATGACCCCGGCAAGCCCAACCCTCTTCACACGGACAACAGCTACTTCGTTGCTGCACATTCCTTCATTCGAGAAACGCGGACGAAGGAATCGAAAGTTCCGCTTTGGCCTTCCATGAGACCAACTCTCGCTCCTGTTCGCATCTCCGGGCTTAAAGTCGCTATCCCCCAAGCCCCGCAAACTGCCATTGCGTTGCATGCTATCAAGACAACTGCTCCACCGCTGTTGCCAGGTCAGGTACATATGGCGCCGTCAAACGACCGGCATGCCGTGCCCTCGCCAGGAGCCCTTCAGGCAGGCGGACACTCTCAGTCTAATAGTGACCCTCCACAAAGCTCGCATTCAGTCTACCCGCGCAGTGCCAATCCGTCCTCTGCTGTGGGCGAAGCGGTGAGTCCCAGCAAGCCCGGCCCGCCTCCTCCCTCCGCCTCTCCAAAACATGCTGTAGCGAGCAGACCACAACATGGCGAGCATGAGGCTTTGCCACGATATCCTATTCCATCTGCCAATCACACGGGACCTACCAATGGGCTAGGTTTGCAGCTTGGGCCCACGGACTTGAAGCTGGTCACTGCTGCCACTTCGCCTGTCAGCATGTTCCCACAAGCCCAACCGTATGCTGGAACATATAATCAATCGCTCTCGGGGCCCACCATTCGATCCGAAGGCGTGCGTTCTGGCGACCATCAGAGGATGCCGCAGCCCGGAATGCCAGCAGTTCCTCCATACACCGGAATGCCTATGACCAACTATCCCTTGTATCCTCAAAATGCGGGCAATCCTGCAGCAACCGCAGCATACTATGCTCAGACGATGAACGGCCTTGGATTGGCTCCTGGTCAAACGCCACAGGGTCCTTCCATGTTCCACCCTCAGGACTATGGCCGGTATTACACCCAGCTTTGGCAGGCGTATCACGCGATGAATCCAGGTCACGGAAATGGGTCTCCCCATCCCCACCAACCCGGCTCAGGGGAGGTACCTCAGCATTTGCAACATGGATTCCGTCTGAATTCAATGGATCTCCAGAGCTTCGCACAGTATCAATCATCTGGCTTGAACTTGCGGGTCCCTCAAGTTCGTCAAAAGCCAGGATTAAGCTCGGCTGTGCCCATGCAGACCACAACACCAGAAAGACACACGCCGCAGGCATACGTATCTGATCACCCTCCAACTTATCCCACACCGCTCACTCGCCCTCCTTCCGAACCAAGAGATTTGGAATCGTCTCCCTCTGGACCGCGTCGAGGCAGTGACTCTGGCACTGACAACGGCGTTTCTTCTCCGGCAAACCCGTCGACTCTGCCCACGACCCCTATCTCACAGCCCGCTGTCTCGCAGGGCAAGTCGCCAATCGAATAGGCATCATGAATGATATGGACACTGTCTTTGCCATCTACATAAGCGATACCCTGAGAGTAGTACTACTGATTCCATGCAATTGTATCATATTGAACAAGTTCGTTCATGCTGTTTCTTGGAGCTTGTTGGGCATTGAAGAATTACAATCACTATATTATCTCGTGTCTTCACAAGCAAGCACTGTACTTTGTACTAGTGTGCAAGACAACTAGGAAACGAAGTGGAAGGCTGCTTGTCAACGCACATATGTACCTAGACCATTACTACTTCGCCGTCGGAACGTCCTTCTCATCCGGCTCTGCTTTGGTGGCGGCAGCGGTGGGCGCCGCTTCGATCGCCTTGGGTGCTGGTGCCGACATGATTCTGAGCCGATTCTTAGGATCTTTCGCCTCTGCGGTAACCGATTTAATCAGATTCCACATTCCGACCAGCTTGGCGAGGTAGTCGGCCATTGCGTTGTCGCCGGCGTACTCGCTGAGCAGATACAGAAGCTCATCATCCTGTAGGACATCGTGGTTGACTACGGATGTGCAGAAGATATCTGCGCCACCGTCAGTCTGTTTCATGCAAATTATTAAGTGGGGTTCTGACAAGCAATAACATTCTCTTTTTCGCCCATGACGCCCTTGCTGACAAAATTGTAGCGCCATATCTGTCGTTATTAAGCGTCTCGTCTCAGCATTTACGTGCAGTATTTCTCACCTTGACATCAATGCGGATGATAGCATTGTGCTGCATGAAGATGAAGAACTTCTGCTCTTCGTGCTCGCCCGCATGCCCATTGCCAAGAAACACATCAAGGGCGCCGGTCACAAGTGTCTGAGGCCGACGTCAGTATGTCCAAAATACTTGCCGGTTCACATGCCTTGAAGCCTTCCTGGATGTTGTACTGAGTCTGGCCACTGGAGGGGTCTTTCTTTCCGAAGAAGGAATCGACAATCGTACCAATCTTGCCCTTCAACTGATGCCGAAGCAAAATGTCAGCCTGCTCGGCCATCACAAATGAATTATTCACCTCGTTGGAATCCTTGGAGATGTCGACATCGTAAGCACGCTCCCATCGCAAGGCACGGAAACCCGGAATGCCACCACGATGGCTGTTTCTCGGGTCATCAGTCATAAACACACTAGCGGAGGTCAGTCGGAGCAGTCGAGAATAAATGAATCGGAAAAGACTAACGCCTCAAGGTCGGCCTGGTACTTGTCCAGCTTAGCGGTGGCCAGGCGGACAAGGAAAGAGAGCTGTTCCTCCAGTTCCTGCTTGTTTTGCTTGTCCCCAGCAAGGACTGCCTCGCGAGCTGCAGCAAGAGCTTGACCCATTGTTGCGGTTGCCGAGTGATGTTTTCTGAGAGAGATGGGGAGTGAGGTGGGTTGAAAGTTGACGATGAGGCACCCCGGGCAGACAAGCAGTGTATATATAGCCATCCCAAGCGGGAGAAACCCGATGCTGGTCATAGTCGCATCCCTCATGAGCTGTGGTTTGACGTTCGTCCTGGGCGACCCGGCCATCGGGGTTCGCAAAGGCCGGTCCCGGTCTCCTGCGACCGGTTTCTGAAGAGAACATCAATATTTCCAACATCACTGACAATGGGGAGCAAGATCGCTGGGCCGCTCCTAGGCAGCCAGGAGGGGCAACTCCGAAGCCAAAAGGGTCCGCGGGACTGACAAAGAACGAAATTCCAAGGCACGTCGCAGGGGCAGGGCACTGCGCCACGTGTTGCGGCCGTCTCTGAATATCCCGCATGGCCCATCGACTTGGTCCATGGTCGGGTGCGGCGCCGGAGATTGGTGTTGCCGGATGGTGCGCGCCAGGTTTGGAACGTTCCTCGAGGAAAAGAAAAGTGTGGCGGCACAGGGGCTATCAGATAAAGCAGGAATGACGGTGCCCCAGGCAGTCGGTTGAACCAGGTCGCCCAAGTGACATGATCAACACGGTGGCAAGGCACATCCAATTCTATGTCCTTGAAGAACAAGTTCCGGCATAGCAGGCCAACAGCCCGTCCGTCTTCCGCCTAACCTTCGTCACTCACCTGAATCTGTGGTCAGCATTCCTGCAGCACGGGACGGCAGAACACTCGCCCAACTGCAACTGGACATTTTTCCATCCCAACCGCCACACGTTTGTAGCGTGTTGCTTTTCCCAGCCTCTGTGATGGCCCTCCAAAATAGGAGGGGCCCAGGAAGTGACGTGACACATCCCGTCTTCCTATAGGGAATTGGCACCCCTATTTTTATGAGCTGTTGTGAGTTCTGCAGGAGGTCCGGGACAGGACAAGCGAACGGTGTCAGTAGCGGGTACGCAGGAGATCGGCATCGACTCCGCCAGGTCCCACCAGGGGGAATCATCGTACTCAGATCATCTGACCCATTGGACGATGGAGCCTTGGATATATCTGGGCCGACCAAATGCTTCTGCGGGTGAGGCTCCCATCCGGACCCTTGGCTCCTAGCGGGGAAATGAACGATGACGATGAAAGGCACGACGACCACACACCTTGTTCGGAGCGCGGCGTCAGGATGACACCCAGTGTACGGAATAGTGACGAGGGGATCATACCGCAGCCCGTGAACGTCCCAAGGTGGGAACCTCCGAGGCTGTGAACTGTTCCAACCGCGGCGTGAGCATCACATCCGAACCGCGAGGAAAAGAGCCAAACCTTTCTCAGCCAGTTGTTTCTTTGAACAATAACAGCGAAGCATCAAGGTGGTTCTTTCTCTGAAACAGGCGATCCCGTCAACCATGCCGTCCCTCCTCTTTGCAATAGTCTCCGGTAGAAAGTCCAAGGATCAGTACTCTGGCATCATGACCACAGTGCTGTCGATGGGGGTTCTTCCAGGACTGAGGCGGGTAGGATATATCTGAAAGGGCAACGCGGTGTGGGGCAGATGATCTTCACGTGATGAGAAGTAGAAGTAGAAGGGGCTATAGGTGGGAGTGAGCGCACATAGGAATATGAGGGTGGGGAGACGTACTAGAAGTGGAAGTGTGGCTATGGGTAGGAGTGAGCGCATATAGGAATATGAGGGTGGTTGAGCGACGTACTAGAGTGAAAAATAGCTGGGGAAATGGATGGAAGCGAGGGCATATAGAGATATGCGGCGGGTGAGCGATGCGCTAGAAGAGGACATTACATACGACACTTCCTCTGTTCGTTAGATACGTACATATGGCGGTGAGGTGAATTTGACCAGACAGTTAACTGTACATCGTCGATAACGAACCGGAGATGGTGGTGGTAGAGGGGAGAGTGAAGTGAAGAGGGCTGGGTGAGAGGGAACACGGTTGTGCAATGAATGGACAAGTGAGTCGTGACTGAGTCGCGTTCAGTGTCACGTGCTCGTACATCAGCGCTGGAATGTCCGGCGCTGGCTTCTCTTGGAGTTCTCCATCGGTCATCGGTCGTCGATCGTCCACCTCTGATCTGGATACTGTGTTTGCAGACTTAACTGATGGATGGGATATGTTCGTTGGCATCCATGAAACCGATCACATCCGCCACCAGCATTCCAACCTACGTATATGCACCCCATGCTGTGCGGATGAATCTCGGCATGTGACTTTGACAACTCATTTCGTGTTTCCCACCGCCCTTTGCACTCTCATCTGGATATGAGTATTTGATCCATCACTACTACTGCAACCCGACAACCGTACAGTCCTTCCGCCCAGCGGGGTTCTATTCACCTCCCAAACACTGGCGACTGGCAGAAGCCAAGGGAAACGTAAGGTTGACGAAAGGAACATGAGCAGCACGTCCGACTCTCGTATACATTGATATATTCTCCACCAAAAGGAAGATCCAGTCTCGAGCGACCACAGAGTCAAAGTCTGCGCTAAAAACGGTCCGTGGGGTTGACGGATATCGGTATTCGAAAGCACGAAGCAGGGGCCGAGGGATTTACCAGTGTTGCGGCGGTGTGTCTGCACATCCCGCATGACGCGTGACGGGACCGGAGGTTGCTCTTGAGAGATCTTCAGAGGACCGTGTACAGGCCAAGGGGTGGTTGAATGAAGCGGGGAACGATGCTGTCTTATTCAGCCAGGTAGACACGCGAACGATCCAAAGAGTTGCAAAGAACACGTCCTGAAGGCACAGAGCAGGTAGAGTATTGCTAAATCACGAGTTCCAGCGTAGCAGGCCAACAAATCCCGCCCGTCCTGTGGGAAAACTTGACGAGCCACCTAAATGCCTCCCTAAGCGAATCAGTATTGGAACGGTACGGTATGAGAGGATGGAGCACTCACCCAACGGCAACTTCCTCCCTTCCAACTTGGATCAGTTTTGAGAGCGCTACTGAAGCAAGCCCGTGCGCGGATCCACGGTAGAGAGAAAACCCACCCGATGTGACATAGCCTATGAGATCCTTCTGGAGTGGAGGTGTCGCCCCTAGTCTAATGAGCTCGTTCGTTTCTTGCAGGCGATCAGAGGCGGAGCGGGAGAGCGCTGTGCGCCAGAGAGCAGCTTCAGCGGGCGAGAGACGGTAGATAGGTGTCAGTTCCGCTGGGCAACCCCGTCCACAAGGGACGAGCCTGACATGTACAAGTGCGCTCTGAAGCAGTAGGTCTCCAGAGGGTAGTGAGTCGGGTAATCCGCGCTGGGAACGGAGGGCACTGAGATGCGAGTGCAGGACGAGGCCTGCTCCTGGGCCAGGGGGACAACGTACAAGGGATTGGACAAGGGTGGAGAGGGAAGGGAGTCGTAGCACCCAGGGCGCTAGGACTTCGGTTTCTGCGGTTTCTTGGGCCAGGGTCGTCGCTGGGTCTGCTTCAACTTCCATGTCGGCATCTTCGCGCTGAGTGACGATCGTTTCCCCCATCCCTGCTTCTCCCTGTATGCCCTGTTCACCTTGCACATCCCCTCCAGCTCCGCTAGAACGTAGTACACGGCGCCAATCCGCACTCCACCAGCCTTCCTCTCCCACCCTCTTCCCGCGCGGCCTCCTTTCCCAACCCTTCTTCTCTTCCTCCTCCCACCCTCTCCACTCCTTCACTCCCGCGTGAGTGCCCACCCAGTCTTTCGGGAAGAATGGGTTGGAGAGCTCGAATGCCTGCGCTTGGATCTCTCTTTGACCTGCTAGCGGGGTGGTAGGCGCTACGAGGGAGAGGAGGAAAGGCATCCCCCATCCTTGAGGTAGGAGAATTGTCCAGCCGTGCAAGGATTCTTCTTGCCCCTGTGCATGTGATGGGGAGGCAAGCCGGGAAGCCACGCTCCTCTGCACGAGGAGAACAGGGACCTTTGCATCCCCTGTTCCAGGCCTCAGTTTCCGCCCCGGCACGAGATCAAAGGATCGGCGGGCATCCAACTCCCGCTTACTAGCAGCAGGAGGCTGGCGAGCGCTCGGCTCCCAAAGCTGGGACTGGGCTAAGGACGGGGAGGGGAGGGGAGTACGGGTAGCCGCGTGGTTAGAAGTGGTTGGGTTGGCGTGGGCGAGCTTAGGCGGGTATCTGGGAGTTCGTTAGCTTCGTTATCTCTATCAAGGAGGGACGAATACTGACGATAACCTCGGATCCCAAGCCTCTAAAGCCAGACACATGCCCCTCGGTACGCCTGCCCCGCCCAACTGACCAATCGTATCCCACACCTCCTTGTTCTGGTTCTGTCCCTTGACCAGCTGGAGCACTCCGGCAAGGAGGGCAGTGCTCTTCGGTCCCAGAATGTTGAATGCGAGTAATTGCGTCCGGAGGTCTGTTATCTGAATTTCATCGACGGGGTGCGTGTGAGTTGCTGGATGACCGTGCGTAGGTTGAGGAGGCTGAGAAATCGGGGCGGTGGAACCGGTAGTGGAAGCTGACTGGGTTGTCGTCGGAGGGAAGGAAGCAGGAACAGCAGTATTGAGCAGAGGAAGAGGAGCACCAGGGATAACAGGGGTGGCAGATGGAAAGGCGAGAGTACGGCGTTCGTCCAACACCTGGCCACACGCACACTGCAGCGACCCCAGGAACTGAGCAAAACAAGCAGGATGTACGCGGATCCATAATTGTCGTTCTGGGTCGTTCCCGGTCAGCGGCCGCCAGAGCACCCAAACAGGCCCAATAGCGCCTCTAGGCCACATCCCGCACTCGTACGCTGCCCCCTCCCACACCCTCGCTCCCTCCCTACACTCCTTGGCACCGGGTCCTCCCCCTCCGACCCCAACGGGCGCTACAACGCGCTCCAACACTTTCCTCAGCACGTCCTCCCTCCCTCGAAGCTCTAGCGTAGACCAGTACGAGTAGTCGTGTACTATACTTCCAGACCGAGCAGCGCGTAACGAGGGGCGGTAAGACTTTTGCGTCGGAGTGATAGGGAGGCGGTAGCCGTATAAAGTCGACATGTGGAAACGTTTTGCATGGTAGAGGTGTGTTTCTAGCCAGGCTTTGTCTCCTAATCCGAGTAAGCGCGAGCAAGAAAAAGATCAAATAGAATACGTACGCTGCCGTTTGGCGAAGTTCTCGGTCCTGGTAAGTTGCCTAGACTTTCCCGCCTTCGGGAGTTTACCCTTCTTCGGCTTCGCCGTGTCCATCTTCCATTCGTCAGCACTCCTCCACCACACACCCACGTCCAAAAAATACGTACCTCAATCCTAGCTCGCTCCCTCAACCTCTGCGGTAGCCGACGTACATCGTGGCTCGCCGCCCGGCGTCTCAAGTGCCTAGGCACGCTCTGGAACGCGCGAGTGGTAGAGGCTGCAGAGGAGGAGGCGATGGCTGTTTGGAGAGCGGAGATCTCGAATGATCGTGAGATGGTGAACTGTTCGACATCTATCGAGGTGGGGAGGTCTGGGATCTGGTGAGTGATTGGGTAGGGGTATGTTGCGCAGTAGCGTACTCGATGTGGATGGAGACTGGACAGAGATAGTCCGTGCGTCCAAGAGTCTTACACGTTTCCTCTGCTTGCCAGATACGTCAGGTGAATGGGGCCGTTTCGACATGGTCGTCGACGTTAAACGGTTAATAGTTAAGTGAAGATTGAATGAGGAGTGAAGTGAATGAACAGTCGTGACTGAGTCGCGCGAAAAACCTGATGGTCACGTGATGAGCCTCTCCGGAATGTCTTTTCCCAGCTCACATTTCTCTAACTAGGCTTATTGAATAATTTAGTCTACATTTCTACGGTTATGGTTATGTTACAGAGAAAGGAAATATCAAACAGACAACAGATGATTTAACAACCGAAAGTGGAGAAAGAGTAGGGGATTAGAAACAACCACTCGCTGCCAACACGCCATCTCTGCCTTCACCGACACCTGCTCCTTACAATGTGCCCAGGCCTCGGCTTATGAGCGCTTATCTTGGGAATTCTCAGGGATTCAGTGCAGAACGCCACCTTTTTCTGGTTCAATCCAAGACAGGTTTATCATGTGTTCGAAGCACGTGCTACCCACTGAGTCACTGAACCAGCAGAAATGGGAGTTGATCAGTTCATCACGTGCTGTCATTGCAAACGACCATGGTGCCAACCTCAGCCAACTGTCCCATAGGAAAGAAAAGACAACGCGAGGGGTATAGGACAGACAGCGAGAGGATTTGGGGTAAAAATTATACATCTTCTAACAGCTTCGTCCTGCTCGGCATCTAGACCTCCTTTCCCTCGCGCGCACATTCCTGCTAACGGCTCTCCGGGTTCTCCGGCTGTTCCTTGGGTGCCGGTGCCAGATGTAGGCTAGAGATGTCTCTCACCACGACTTCTGCTGTGCCGAAGCACACTTCTGGCAGTTCCTCGTCTTCCTCTTCGTCTGCAGTACCGGAAGCCTTGCCTTTCCCTTTCAGGTCCGCGCTGCTTGAGTCGTCCGATAGGGCGCGGGAGGCAGAGGGCATCGCGATAAGCACCGTGACCTGGACGTTTTCGGGTCCTGAAGGCATAGGAGGATCGAGAGGTGCCGAAGTGGTCGTGGGGGTGATGGGATTCGGCGGCGGTGGGGGACGACGGTGGAAAGGAAGCGGGAGGTGGGAGAAGATGCCTCGTGGGCCGGGAGTTGGGGGAGGTGGCGAATCGGGTGGAGAGACGCTGTGTGTAAGCACTTGTGCTGATATAGGCTGCGAACCGTGAGTGGCGTCGTGCAGATAGAGATAGAAAGGAACGCACCATGATGTCGTCCCACGCGGCACCGTCAGCTTTCACGCCCTTCTCCTCGTCCATCCATACCTCCCACAACTTTGGCTTCTCCTGGAATCTCCTATCTCCTCTTCCAGTTGTGAGCGATCCAGGAAGGAGTACGCCTGCAGCAATCGCAGCTTCCACCCGTCTCCGGAAACGGCGCCGAAGGACGAATGAGCGTAAGACGATTCCGAAGGATACGGTAAGCAGGAGGAGGAGCGTCGTGAGGAAGGTGAAGAGATATAAGGAGCCTGAAGCAAAGTCTGCTCAGTTAGCGGGAAAATCTGTTGCTGGTCAGGAGAGGATAAGAGCGTACTGGGTGTGCCCTGCGAGCTACCGGACGAGCTCTCCGTTGTTGTCGCTGCTGCCGACGCGGTCGTTGCGGTGGGCGACTCCATGGATGTGGACATGAGGCCGCTCATAGACATGCTCATTCCTGTGGTGGTAGAAGGGAGAGAAGGAGATGAAGCAGACATCAGAGCATTGATGGCGGGTTACCAGGAGAAGGGGAGGCTGTATCGGCTCCCGAGTGGTGGTGTGATTTTGCGATGTGCTGTCGGTGAGCTGGTGGCTAAACCGCTTTGCGCAGTCAACGGGGGAAGAATAGAAGAAAGAGATGCTGAAGAATAGATAAAAGGAATGGTCGATGATTACTTTTGAATTGTGAAATGGGTTCACAGTGTATTCAGTATGAATGAGACCGAAAGTGCTGTGCTATAATAATAGTTGAACTGCTGACATGATACCATGACGGAGGCGATTGCACCGCTTGGCCCGGCTCATCCCCACACGGCCGATCCCGGTCTCGCCCCTTCGTCATTCCTCCCAAAGACACACCGATCTCCCCGGTCTGGTCTCACATGACATACGCTGGTTGTGTCAGGCACGGTCACGTAAGAGGCCCGGAGATGTGAGCAGCCAGCCACATAAGCATAAAATTGTACAGTTATCGTCTTGATCGACTGTTGGTTTCCCATTCCATCAATCGCGCTTAATCGAAAGAAGCAACCCAGATGGAGTGCGCATCGTTCGGCCGATGACCGGATAACGTATCGGGACACATCTGTCAGTCGGCGATAGTGCCCGATCGGCGATAGACTTCTCTGGGTAGTCTGTTTGATATCACGACCTTGAGCTCACAAGGGCGGTTTCGAAATCTACTTTCTCCAGTCATCTTCGGCCATTCCCCTGCTGCAAAGCCTCTCCTGCATGGGCTGAACCAAGAGACATCAGAAATGTAACACACGAAGTAGAAACCAACCAGACGTTGATTTAAAGCGGAATCTAAACTACACAGCCATCTGTCTCCGTTCCCCCCCTTGTTCCCAGGGTCCATTCTTTCCAGCTCAAATCAGAGGCGAGTGGTGTTCAACTACCACCGCGTGCGAACTCTGGTCAGTCTTATTGAAGTCTCTTACTCTTATATGACTCAACATCGGCCATAGTGTTGGCACAACCTAGAACGTCCTTTTAACGATAACTCGTAGTTGTTTCGTCGTCACAGACTCGAGAAACAACCATGGACCCCGAAACGGCACCCGACCCGGTGCTTCATCCGAACGGGCAAAACGGTCATCTCGACCCTCCTGCTGACACGCAACCTCCCTCTTCCAGCAAAGGCTCGAATCTATACGAGGCTTTTATGGCGTTCAGCGCTGAGGAGGAAGATGGAGCTGTTGATTCTGCGGAGGTTAGCCCTTCTGACGCGTTGGAGGAGATCGAGGATCAGGTGCAGGAGGTCGCTGAGTCTGTAGAGGGAGCGGTGCAAAATGTGGTGGATGATTTGGATGACCTGTTTGGGGAAGATGAGCTTGGGGATGATGGGAAAGAGGTTGTGGACCAGGGCGAGACTGAGCCGGAGGTCGATGAAGACGTGCAGAAAGTCAACTTCCCTCCTGAGGACGGAGAACAGCCAGTTGCAGCCGATGTCGTTGATGCGGATGAGACGGACGAACTGGAAGAATCTGCTGTTGACGTACAGGTTGAAGAGGGTGAAGAGGGTGCGGTTACTGTATCCACCGACGTCGAGCATGCGATCGATGATGCTGTTGGAGGCGATGATGATGAAGTCGAGCCGATCGAGCCTCCTGCGACGGAACCCGACGTCGAGCAAGCAATCGATCATGATATTGGAGGCGATGATGACGAAGTCGAGCCGATCGAGTCACCTGCGACGGAACCCGAGGTGGCTGAGGCAGAAGCCAAAGAGGTAGATGCTGCAATGGAGGACGACCAACTCGACATCGTAGAAGACGACACTGTTGAGGGTGTTGCTGTCGAGGCTGTCGAGGTCTCAGAGCCGGTTGAGGAAGAGGTGGACGCGGAGGAAGTTGTAGAAACTGTCGAAGGGATGGAGCTGGAACTTGCCGAGTCTGCTGCAGAGCAGTCTGAGCCTATCGCTGCCGAAGACGGAGCTGTTCCCGAGCATGCAGAAACAGCATTGGCGCATGATACCACTGGTCCAGAGCCTGAAGTTCAAGTGACGGAAGAAGTCGAAGCTGTTCAGGAGCACCCTGCTGCGGACGAGGAAGACGTATCGATGAACGTAGACGCTGGACCCGCAGGGGGGGAAACCGAACTTGTTGGGGACGATTCGGAGATTGCCGAAAAAGTTGAAGGTGCTGATGGCGAGGAAGTAGACCAACTCATGGAGGAAGCGGAGCAAGTCGAAGAAGCGGAAATACAGTACGACATGCCTGATGAAGACGGGGAGATGCGCTTCCCTCGTAGTGACGGGCAGTCTGATCGACTGCCAGGATCGAAGAAGGGTCCTCCTATGCTCGATCGCATGGAGGTGGTGCCTCGCAATTCGGAGACTCAGAAAACATACCTCAAAAAGATTGGCCAGGGTGTTGCGGAGAAATTGATGGGTCTCACGGGTGAGAGCGCATTGCTTGTTGTCTTGCACAAACGCTGAGTCTGTCACAGATCAGAAGTATAGGTTCAACGATTTACCTAAGAATTACCGCCTCTATCAGCAACATCGATCGGGTGGTACCGCGAATGCCCGGCCGGACATGTACTTATATGGTAAGCTCTTCTTATTTGCTTCACTCAGCTGCGTGTTGAACATACCGTAGGTTCGAAGACAGTGCTCAAGTTCCGCTCCACGACACAGTTCATTCCCCACGCCATTTGGCTTCTCACCGATCCGACGCTGAACAACAAGAACTGCTATTGTTCCCATTGCTCCTCGCGGCCACATTCAGAAGCCTATGTCGAGATCCAAACCCCAGAACGGTCTCTCAAACGTAAATCGTCAACGTTGAAACCCGAGTCCGCCGTGAAGAAGATCAAATTGCCGGACACACCGATACCGCGTGACAGCAACTCGGTGCGCCCCAAGGCGGTCAGGGCAGACCGTGAGACAGAGCTTGCTTCTGCCGACCGACTCGAAGCTCCTCGTAGTGGCGAAATCATCTGGGTGCATGTCGAACCCCCAATAACCGGAAAGAAGCCTGGAGAAGTCATCGAATTCTGGCCGTGTCTTGTCATCAAGTACGAGCCGAAGAGAAAGTTCTTGCCAACTGAGAATAATGGGACGGGGGTTGCAGCACCCGCTTGGGAAGTCCAAGCACTTGGTACTGTGAAGAATGCCTATGCGCGAGCTGAATCCATCTTGCCCTACCAGTCCTATGATTTCCCACAGACAACAAAGGATGTTCTTCTGGACTTCCGGTCCACTTCGACTGATTTCGACGATTTCATGTGGTTCAATCCGTTTGAAGATCCTCCGAAGGAGAAGCCGTGCACTTTGAACAAACGTCGCAGCCTGCCTGATCTCAGGACACACTCGAACAAAGCGCGCACATTCAAGAACGCTGCGCCAGCGCTGGTCTTGGCATTACAGATGTGTGCACGCCTCGGCAACGGTTGGACGACGACGGATGCCTACGCTCATCCTGTGCCAGCTCAGAACGTCGAGAATCCTCCTCCGATCAGCACGCAGAACCCATCGAGGCGGTTCGAAGGAGTATTCTGGGGTGCGGAGCGCATCTGGGAGGGCGATTTTGTTCGCCTGAACATCCAATTCAAGTCTGATCTGCCCGAAAAGGATTACCGGAAGCATCTGTTGAACAACATGTCCGAGGGTGCCGATGGACGCGGTCTCTTCATGCATGTCAACGCATTCCATTTCCTTCATTATGAGGCCGATACCCAGAATTCCAGTGAGAAGAAAGAGTGCTGGATGGCTGGCCCTGTCTTCGAGACGATATTCGATGGCGAGGCGGATCCTGCCATCTTGAGCGGAGAAAACAACGCGCCTCTACCCGAACCGAGTCCGGCCTTCGATCTTGTGCGGGACACGCCTGTCCTATCAGCGTCGGCGTTGGGGATCCTCGCTGAACGTAAAGATACCAGCGATGTTCCTGCTGGTGTCCCCACTCAGTATCCCTGGCCTCCCGCACCCTCTGGGTTCAAGTTCCGACCCTTGCTCGCCAAGGACGAAGAGCTATACATCAACATCTCTTGCCTCGCTGGCCGGTACTACCCTACGATCTTCTTCAAGCAGCTATTGGTCGGCAGGCACGACCTGACAAAAACGAGCAATGGGATCAGCACACCGCAACTGCTGTCGATGGCAGGCTTCATGCCCGGTTACGTGTACGCTGCGCTATGCGAAAAATACAATCACGACCGCTCGGCGATGGTCGTCTCTGCTGAGGAAGAGTCGAAGGAGGTGTTGTCTGCGATCTGGAGTGGTGATAATGCGTAAAATGAGGATTCGGGATTTCTGCCATCTTAGTCTGTGCTTCGGAGCAGTGATGGGTACATACTTCTTTCGTATTTCGTTTTTTCTGGTGTTGTCGAAAGGGCCAAGCGCCACATATATTGTAAATAATGTTCCAACGAATGTGACATTGTAAATCCTGCGAACGTACAACATGAAAGGTGCTGGTTTGCTTTCTTTACAGCGCTCAGGCAGAGAGCGTTGGTGCGACGGAAAGGGAAACACCAGTTTATTATCGAAACCACACACCTCTCGCCGGGATTGAATCCATTATGAGAATGGAGTGCCCATGATTACTCCTCCGGGAGATTAACAGAAATGAAAGTAGATAGCAAATGAGTGGACAGCTGGTGAGACAACCAGCAGGGAAATACTACGCTATATCAGATACAGATACAGCGACTTTACTCAGAAACGTCCTGTAGTATGGAAACCCATCGCGGCAGGACTACAACTCTTCTCATGCATGTTTCATTACCCTCTTACAGGAGGCCCAGAACTCCACTGAGAAGACCGCCAAGGCCGAGGCTGTTGACCAGACCGAGAACTGAGGACAGACCCAGGGACTGAACAAGGCCGAGGACACCAAGGCCATTCAAGCTGAAACAGTTTTTAGATGAGCATCAGTAAGCTCGACCAGAGACACTTACAGGTTAAGTACAGTGGAAAAGACCGCGGAAACAAGACCGAGCACTGTGGCAAGAAGGCCACTGTATCAAGCGTCAGTCACCGCCAACACGGTTCTAGGGCATGTGCACGTACTCTACGGTGGAGAGGACACCGGCGACCAAAGGATCGGCCAGTATGCTGGCTGGAACACCATTCAAGGTATTGAGAACCTCCTGTGCACCAATGTCAACTTCTGATAGTCACCTATCAGAGCAACTTACAGCGACAACATCAGCAACAAGAGTAGGAACGTCGCCGACGAGATCCCCATCGGTCAAGTTGCCGAGTGCTGAAGTAGCAACATTGAGGGCTGTGCCAACTTCGTTAAGAGCAGCAGCTACCACCGGGGCGGTAATAGCCTCCACGTTTGCCAAAGGAACTGTAGGATGTCAGCAATGATGATGAGAAAATGAACCATGAATACTTACTCTGAGACAGTGCCGAGCTAACATCGGATTTCAGGGTGGTGAAGACAGCTTCCACATCGGTGCGGCGTACGACAGCCACACCAACGTTGGCGTCAACCACAACACCAGCAGCCACTGCTGCCACATCGACGTCGGAGGCCTGCAAAGCGCGCTTTTTCAATCCACCAAGAACACCGTCAACGGTGTTCAGCGCGCCGTCGGCAACGTTGACGACGGTGCCAACAGCACCATCAACAACACCGACAACAGTGCCAACAGCACCCGTGAGAAGGTCACCGGTCTGAGGCACAGGTGCAGCGAAGGCAGAGAGCGAAAGGGCAAGAGTAACGAGGGTGGGAATAAACATGGCTTCGCAGTGAAAAGAGTGTGGGTGGTAGGTTGAGATGAGATAGGAAAAATTGATGCAGAAAGGATGGGTATCGGACTCCGGCTCCTGCCCAGAATTTATACGTTCCATGCTCGGCTCCACCGTGTATGCGTACCAGTTGCATGTGCTGAGAAATGCAATACAAGTGCAGAAAGAGACATTCGAAACGTTCGCCGGAAGATTGGGGATCCGGTCGGAGAGAAGGCGGTTCAATCATGCAACTTGATGCCTTGGTCAACTGTTGAAAGAGCTTCTGCTGTTCTAAGTTAAGCGTTTCGCTGTGCGGATGCCGTGAGAAAGAGGTGGGGTAACGAAGGGTGAATGAGCTTGACGTCAGCAGAAAGCGCCGTTTCTATGCTTCTGAAAAAGAAGGCCTTCATTGCGGAAACAAAAGAAGTTCAGAAGAGTTTCAAGTCTCCTGCTCTTCTTTTTTGAGGGTGCAAAACAACGGTAGGCGCAGTGCCCTATTCTACCCCATAATCGACGAATCGACGATCCTCCAGCAGGGTGATAGCGAAGAACGAGGATCGATGCGGAAGGCAAAAGTCCGAGGTGCAACGCCCTCTCCGCAACAGAGTTGCACTTTCTTCTTCTCACCCCATGCGATGTCGCAACTTGCAAGTTGTGGAGCGGAGCGTTCGATGGATACATCGAAGTACCATGATGAACTTCTGGAGACGAAAATACCTCGTCTCAAGTCCCGAGCTTCTCAACCGTGACCCAGGTGTTGCTATATCAGTCGTTTCAGATTCTCGCTGATAAGAAATTTGCCGAAGCACAAGCTGTGAGAAAAACAAGACGTCATGTTGACAGATGCGTCTGACGATTGTCCGTAAACGCAGTTTATGCCCAGCAAGATCAGAGGGTGTCATGAGAGGTCCATGGTGAGAAAACAAAATAGGGCAAGTCGTTATTCTTGCGAATAGAACACGGTGGCTGTGTGGGTGGAAGTGCCAGAAGCGAACACCTGCGTGTGATAAATTTCATGACTGTGGGTTCCGCCCCCACAAGCCAGTGCGCTAGAGGAAGAGGGGATGAAAGCTCGTGTGTGCAGCACCAAGGTCTTTATAGTTGAAACAGACGGTGTCACCAGGGAATAAATATGATCACGTGGATGACATAAGCTCAGGGGTTGTGACGTATCCGTGGACATGGCGATTTGTCCCTGAGAGTGAATGCGCTTCTCAAACGTGCCAATCCAGTTCACCTAATGCTCGCCAAACGTCCTCCAACATACCCCTAAGGGATTTCTCCTCTTCGACCATCTATATAATTTCCTCACGCTCACTCAGCTCATCGTGCAGAAAAAAAGCGTCAACACGATGCCGACTCTCGCTGACATCGCTAATGAAGTTCTCGCCAACGAAGAAGCAGTACGAGACGAAGTTCAGCCTGCACCACCGCTCAATCCTGGTTCATCGGCTGGCGAGGACTCTCACAGCTTAACAAATCAGGGAACTCCTTTTTCTTTTGTTCGACCTCCTGTACAGATGAATTCCCCGGTTCACAGCTTTGCGCCTCTCGTTCCACCTAGCGCCCGCCGCTCAGCAATCCGCAGCGCATCAACATCGTTCTATGATGTCGATCGCCCGAAGCCGGAGTTGCTTAGTGACCCCTACAGATCCAAATTTGTTCGAAACTCGTCGAACTTTAGGGGTGCTTGGGAATACAACGACGTCGATGGATGGGGAAAGGGACGAGAAAAGGAGGACGGCGAAGGCTTGTGGCAGAGATGGGAGGGATTGGCAGATGGTCTCTTGCACGAACACGACCATCCGGGTACTCCCAAGCAGCAGGAACCGCTGAAGAAAAAAAGACAAGAAGAGGGCATCATGGATCAGGAGCGTCCGATGCAGGGTTTTCTCGAGGAAGTCGATCACGGACACGAAGCCGATATCGAGGGCGAAGGATCTAAAGGCAGACCTCTCAGATCGGTCCCTAACGAGTACACGCAGTTGAGGTCGACAGGGACGAAAGGTGCAGGAGGAAGCCGCTTAACCCAACAGAATGGACACCAGCTTGCTCGGTATCACTCCTTGCCCGAAATCCAAATAACGCGAGAGGCGCAAAGCCAGCCTGAAGTTCAGAAGCACGGGTATTCAGCCGGCGCTTCGCGACCCCATGGAAAATCTCGCCAGTCCCGATGGCAGGTTCTCCGTTCGATGCTCCTGGCGCCTGACACGGGAAAACGTCACCATCCTCTATTGCCAAGCGGTGCGAGGCACAAAGGCCCAACCTCTGCCGCAGGCGAGGAGATCAATATTCAGGACGAGCTACTCTCTGGTCCCCTAGCAGGGCTCATGTTGAGGATGTACTTCGAGAGGGACCAACAGGACCAGCGTAGGGTGCCAGTCTTCCTACATCACCTCAAGATTCGTGTCAGCGACAGCCTTCATCCCCTGCACAATACGCATGCGGTTTTCCGGATAGAGGTTTGCCCGAATTTTCGTTCCTGGATATGTTGACCAACTGGTTATTAGTGCGAGTATGCAAATGGGGCATCACGCTGGGTCATATATCGCGAGTTGCGTGATTTTATCTCCTTGCACACCCATTACCGGGTCGCCAATGCCGTGGCATGGGGAAATAGGGTGGAGCTGCCCGAGTTCCCTCGAACCAGTATGTCACTTTCCTCTGTCCCATGGTATCATACTTAATCCATTGGATAGGCTTGCCATATTTCACTTGGTTGAGAAAGGAGGGAAGGGAGAAGGGCTATGAAGTCACGCGTGCTGACTTTGCTCGCCTTCAGCGCGAGGCGCTGGAGAACTACCTGATTGGACTCATACGTACAACGGTGAGTCGGCCAAAATTCTCATACAATTTATGTCATTGATACGTCGATAGATGTTCCATGCCGAAGCTAACCGTCTTTGTCGATTCTTCGAGATATCGACCCTCTCAGTGTCTTTGGCTCAACGAGGTGGAGTGCAAGGAAAAGCAGGCATTCTCAGGGTGGTTGGGGGTCACACTAGCCGTAAGGCGAAGGGTCACCATTTCATCAACTGGAAGACGAGTCACGATCCGAAATGGTGGCTTGTGCGGGATAGCTATATGGTGGCGGTGGATTCGATTGCAGACGTGAGCCAACCTCATAATCATGTCGAATGATATTCATTGACTGTCCACCAGATCGATATCTACGATGTATTCTTGTTTGATGCCGACTTCACTATTGAACGACCAAAGCGGGTGTACCGACAGGGTCTTTCTTTCCTCCATCTGACGCGTCAATCTTCGCACTTCGAGGATGAGCTCGAGGATTCAGATGCACACCGTCACACAGATGGCGAGTCAGACGAGACAGACCTACCACAGACCCGTCCACGTCGCAAGCTATTCGCGAAATTACTAAAGTCTCATGGAAATGGAAAGGAACCACATAAAGACGGCGCTAGCAACGGCGAGGAACACCCGGCTGAATCGACAAACCACCATCACCTTGACGTGCACGATGATCTGACACTTGACCCGTCCATGAAAAAAGACCCGAGGATGGTCACGCAACAAGAAAAAAAGAAGAAAGCCGTTAGTCAGCATACCTTCTATCTTCAAAATACCCAGAGGCGTCTGAAAGTCGTGGCACGCAATGAAGTGGGCTAATTCTCTTCGAGGTGGATTGCCATCTAACTCATTTTTTCCAGCGTCAGATGCATCAATGGATCGCGAGTATAGAACGCATGGCTGCCAGATGTGTCTGGCAGGGCAAGAACCGATTCGAAAGTTTTGCCCCTATCCGATTGAATGCTGCCGCTCAATGGCTGGTGGACGGAGTCAGTGCTATGACGTTGCCGCAGAAACACTCTCTGAGCACCTTTGTAGCGAGACTATTTCTGGAACTTGAGTCGGGCCCTTTTGCTGGCGAAAGAACGCATATATATTCAGGATTGGTGGCTCTCGCCAGGTACGACGCTTTTTCACGAAGAGGATATATTGTGACGGAATCCAGAGTTGTACATGCGTCGTCCGAATAAGGAACATTATCGGCTGGATCAGATTCTTAGAAAGAAGGCCCGGGAAGGTGTAAAGATCTACGTGATCATTTAGTGCGTGGAGCTCTTCCAAATGGTTTGGGGTCACTAAGGAGTATACAGCCAAGAAGTTTCAAGCAGAACTACGCCAACTGACAGCAAGTGAGCATCTTGATCCCAATAGGTGCTAAAAGCTCATCATTACTGCCCAGTTATACCAAACAGCGCCTGATGGGTTTGCATCCCAACATTCTAGTTCAGCGGTCTCCTTCCCACTTTGCGACAGGAAACTTCTACTGGGCTCACGTGCGTTCACTGAGTCATGAAATAGTCTGACATTGATACATGATCTCGCAGCACGAAAAACTATGTGTGATTGATGAAGCAATTGCGTTTATGGGAGGGCTTGACATCTGCTTTGGGCGATGGGACACAAGTCAGCACATAATGATTGATCAGGGGATGCCTGGAGGACATGGCGATAACTCGCAAGTCTGGCCTGGTATTGCATATGTTTTGCATCTGTGTGGACCACTACTGACTATCATTGATGAAGGTAAAGACTATAACAATGGACGAGTCGCAGACTTCTTTGGCTTGAACAAGCCCTTTGAAGACATGCATGACCGGAGCAGCGTTCCTCGAATGCCATGGTGAGCCCTGGTGCCCGTCTGAAGTTCGGTCCTTTCATGTTATTCCACCGCAGGCACGACGTGGGGGTGCAAATCGTGGGCCAACCTGCCAGGGACATCTGTCGACATTTTGTTGAGCGCTGGAACTGGCTGCTCCGCGTGAAGGTACGACCAGCCAATTGGTTGCGAATATGTGCAGTTCAACAGTTTGATGCCAGGCACATACTCGCGTAATGCCATTCCTGTTGCCTCCACCTGACTTTCATCTGGATGAGCTTGATGCTCAAGGTCTAACTGGGACGTGCGAGGTCCAGATCTGCCGTTCTTGCGGTCCTTGGTCTATGGGTAGCCAGAACAAGATCGAGCTCTCTATCCAAAATGCCTACTTGAAAGGTGAGAGCGGTGTCCATGTGATCTCCCATTGTTCTTATTTTGTTGCAGCAATCCAGATGTCTGAACATTTTATCTATATCGAGAACCAGTTCTTCGTCACCTCGTATGTCTACTCGCTAGTTCAATTGGTCCTTGAAGCCTCAGACCGATCTTGTAGAACAACAGTCGACGACGTGAAGATTGAAAACAAGATTGGAGATGCCCTTGTCAGTCGAATTATTCAGGCACATCAAGAAGGAAAGCCGTGGCGAGCTTGCATTATGATCCCTTTATTACCAGGATTTGCATTCCCAATAGACCATTCTGATGCAAGCTCTGTACATATACACTTCATTTTCCTATGTTGCACAACTCATGCGGCTTCCAGCTTCGGATCATCCTAGAATGTCAATACAGGACGATATCGAGAGGTCCAGATTCAATTTTCGCCAGATTGCGGCAGGAGGGTATAGATGTAGGTAAATTCACATGTTTGACGGACTCGCACTAAGCATCACACTCCAGCCTGACAATTATATCCACTTCTTCTCCTTGCGAGGTTGGGGAAAATTCGACTCTGGCATGTTGACGACAGAACAAGTGTACATACACGGAAAGGTAACAGCCGGTGCCAGAGGACGTGGTCTGTGATTGACACGATATTACTAGCTCATGCTCGTAGACGATCGTATTGCCCTGATCGGCTCGGCCAATATCAACGAGCGCTCTCAACGAGGTGACCGAGACTCTGAACTACTTGCTGTCATTCGCGACACCGATATGATCGATGGGTTAGTAGTGCGCGGATTACACTTGCTTGTGCTCACCCGTTCCTTAGAAGGATGGCGGGCAAGCCCTACAGAGTTGGCCGCTTTGTTCACACACTGAGAGTTCGCCTGATGCGTGAACATTTGGGAATTGACGTGGACGCCATTTACGACGATGATCTCATGGCCAATGCACCTGTCAGGCCAGCAGATGAGATTCCGAAGTGTGAACCTGTCCAAGAACAACAGGAAAAGCCTGAAGATGGTGCACGACTACACGATGATCCCAGTGGTATTGAGCGAGGGCATGAGCATTATATTGATAGTGAGACAGGGTTCGTAAGACCGTCTGTTGTTTTCTAATACATGCACAGGTGTGCTTGGACTGAACGAAAACACTTCTCGACTGGGAGTCAATGCGTCCACTAAGATTCAGTCCAAGCTGGGGTTCAAAAGCGAGGGGAAGGATGCCGTCGCAGAGGTCAATACTGTTCAACCTGGAGGACACCCGTCGGAACAGAATTGCCCAGTCCAGCGAGGGCCCGCGATCCCTGCTGTTTCAACGATAACGGAGACGGGAATTGCACAGCGCTTTCCAGAGTCTGCAGAGCATGATGATGCTCATATCAAGACTGTTGCAGAAATACCGCCGTCTTCATCAAACGGACTGCTGGGAAGTGCAAAGAAGGATGGCGCGCATGACATCGAAGGCGCGCGTCGCTCCCACGTGCCGGTACCCGATCGCGATGCAAGGCCGATAAGCGACGCTATGATCCCCCGTCAGAGAAGTTTGCCGCTGTCTGCACGCCAAAGCTTGCGAAAACACCTTGACGCTAAAACTGGAGCTTATACCTGGAATGTATCTGTGGACGCGCCCTTTGTTGACCCAGATGGTTTCACCGACCCGGTATGCTCTGAGTTCTTTGAGGATGTGTGGTTGGCCACCGCCGTACATAACGTACGCGTTTGCCCTTGCTTTTATTTTGCCAATCTCCTTAACTTGTTTCAGACCGAGATATACCGCAAAGTGTTCCGCTGTGTTCCGGACGATCACGTGTTAACCTGGAAACAGTATAAAGAATACTGTGCTTGGCAGGAAAGGCTTGATCGCCAAGTGAGTTGAGCATACAATACAATCCTACTGAACCTCATAGTTCCACAGTCAAAAGGGGGAGAAGCGGAAGATTCGATAGCTGTGATGCCCTCAGAGGACGGAGTTGATGTGGAACTTCAAGCGGAGCGAGCTGGGAGTGTTGCACATTCTGGCGAGCCTGACAACGGGGGAGTCAATATTCAGAGCCAACAACCCGACAACATCCCTCTATCTCCAACAAACACCATCTCCACCGAAACCCATGAAGACAGCGAAATAGCTACTAAGATTGACGACACATCTTCACCACACGCACATACGACGTCTGCGCAGGGCGAGAAACGGCCTTCTAGGCCAGATGAACCATTTGAACAATGGGAACGTGATGAAATGGAAGGGCTGCTGAAGCGTGTCAAAGGACACCTCGTACTGTACCCGACTCGCTTTTTGGAAGGAGAGGATATGGCCAATAATTTCTTGTTCACTTCTGATCGCGTCTTCCCATTGCCTATTTTTGATTAATTCCGCATTGTGCCCTTGTAACATAAACTGTAGCACCCAATCACTGTACACATGATACATCCAATTTTGGCAAGGACAGTAATCCGCACACATGATTTCCACAGTAATCTTTGACAGTTCTACCTTTTTGGGGACGGTCCTCAGTGTGGAACAATCCATGACCAGCCATGTATCAATATAAAAGTCGCACCTCATATGTGGTAGGCTAAGGCGTCTCCTAGCTCTATCCATGACCAGTGTCGCCTCTTCATCCTCGTTCTATCGAGACGAGCTGTTTCGGGCTCTTCAAGAGCAAGGAGATGCGATCTCCAGCTACCATATGACCGAATCGAGTGCATCCAGTGCCTCTGCAGAAGTGCAGCTCCTGGAGAAGCACACGGCAACAATCATAATTTCGATTGGCGGCTATCAAGTGCGCTGAAGTGATTCTCTATGTTACATTGGATCGCACTCACCCACTTTAGAGCTTAACTGACGGGCACATTTCCACTACCTACGAGACTCTAGATGCTCTCCTTGGGTCAATCAGCAAGCTATATGGGGAAAAGAAGAGAGAAGTGTTGCTGGCAAAGCTGGGCGCGTTAGCTGGAAGCGACCGCGCTTGATTTGTCATTCGTAAGGGACACCAATGGAATCGGAGCTCAAGTGGTTTCGGCGAGGATTCTATGGTGACACGCTGCTATTCAGAGCAGCTGGTATTGCAAGAAAAATGACAATTCATGAAGACCATGCGTATGTAGCCCATGTAACCTTTAATACATGTACCTTTCTGTAGTAGCTTGGTCCTGTGTTGGAGAGGTGGGGGCACAACGGCTATATGCAACACAACTGTATCTGTTCATCCAATTATCCGATACAGGTGATCCGACCTCTAAATGGAGAGCATAATGTTACTGGCAAAAGGTAGACTATAATGTGCTCGTGGTGCACACTGTGTCGCGCCCGTGTGCCCAAAAGTGGTTACGCGTCCTGGTCCCTGTCGTTCACCCTCAATCAAACACTTACAACCTCGTCATGCTCTCTTTCAAGGCTGGACGCTGCAATCGCAGAGCCGAGACTAATTGGGTCGATCCTCTCGCCGATAAGGGGCTCATTCATTTGGAAACCTCTGCCGACGATGGGCTGTTGCATTTTAGTTGGAAGGACAGGACAACAGGTGCCACAGATGAGGTCCGTCGGACCAAGCACGAATGCGTTGGCCGATCTCAACTGATATTCGGCTTAGGATCTTATCCTGTTTCCTTCTGAGGCGACTTTTCTCAAAGTGAACAATGTTCCTTCCGGTCGTGTGTATGTCCTCAAATTTTCCAGTTCGGATCAGCGATACTTCGTAAGTGCTTTGCACAGACTTGTTGGTGACGCCGTCTCATCACGAGCTTGTCATAGTTCTGGATGCAGGTCCGTGAAAGCAAGCAGCCCAGTTACTCGGCTTACTCTCATTCCTTAGGATGCAGATACCAGTCGGGATGAGTACTATGCGCGAAGCGTGAATGGCCTGCTTGAGGATCCCTCTTACGTCCCTGCACCAGTGCCCGTGCCAGTGCCGATCCCCGCCCCCGCCCCCGCCCCCGCCGCGTGGGTGACAGTTCATTCTAGTTGAAGTGTGTTCTCATCCGTTTGTCCAGCTCTACCAGCACTGCAGCGGCTTCAGCGGTTGCAGGATCCTCTCATTTGACCATGGAGGAGCAGGTGCGGCAATTGCGTGAACTCATTCAGGGCGCCACAGCACAGGCGGGTGATGCTGGACCAGGTATGTACAGTAACTGACGTGATATCTCCATTCTGAGCGTGAACAGAGCTTTCTCTCACTGATGTAATCACACCGCAAACCCTGGAGCCTCTGCTCGCTCGGCCAGATCTCTTGGAAGCGATATTTCCCAACCTGCCTGCTGACCTCCCGGGTGAACGGAACGCAGATACACTCCGTCAGGTCATCCAGAGCCCGGCTTTCAGAACAAGCTTGAGGGGTCTGCAGCAGGCTCTCAACACAGGTGGGATCCGGATTACATGCGCGTGTCATGAGGTTCATACTTATGCTTGAACAGGATTGCTCTCGAATTTGGTTGTCAGTCTTGGCTTGCCGCCCGAAGCAGGTCTTGGCGTTGGGCCGTTCCTGCAGGCTATCTCAGAACAAGCTCGAAGATCATCCACAGAAGACCATGCGGCCGAAGACGAACACATGGAGACCGACTAGAGTTGCAGGTGCCCATCTGGTAGCACTATTCCATTGACGTCGTAACGATGAGCCCTTGCAATGTGCGTTATAAGTACATATGATGGGTATAAATGGAGCGACGTCTGTAGGCTAGAACTGAATGCGATTCCGCTCGATGACACTCTTCTGCTTGGCGTCGCGAGACACACGCCTGGCCTGAGCATTAGGACGTTCTTACACGAGTAACGATATTCATACCAGTAAAATTCCATCACATCAGTCGAGGCGAGCTTTTGTAAGAACTTTTCGTCATGTGTGATGACAATGAGCTGGAAATTTGCAGCGTTTCTGCGCTCGTTAATAAGGCTGCAAGAGTTGAGTTCTGCGCGTGGAAATGTTATATTGTAGACATACTCAGCAAGGCTTGCTGCTAGTGCCTCCACATTCTCGGCATCGAGAGCATTAGTCGGTTCGTCCAAAGCAAGAATCCCACAGTTTTGGCCGAAAGAGTCTGAGAGTGCGAGACGGATGATGATGGAAGCAAGCATTTTTTGCCCAGCACTACATCGTCCACGCATGTCCATCTCGACCTGATCCTTGGTCATCACGACCTACATGTGAGATCAGTGACTGGCACGACCACTTTCTAGCTCGTGCCTTACACGATAGTTGTATGTTCTCCTAGTTGCACCACCTTCCACATCAGACCGAATCTTGATTCCATCAATATCTGTGATATATCTGAGTATACTGCTGAATCATGCAGGACAATGACCCACCCGTTCCCTGGTATGTGCGATTCCAAAGGTGCTTCATTGTATCGTTGACTTCTTCCATTTTCAGCCCATGATACCGCATGATAGCACTGGCATTCACGTTAGCCACGCATTCACACAGAGTGTGTAACTCCTTACTTGTCAAGCGCTTTGGCATACTTTTCGAGATCATTATTGACGAGGTCCGACATCTGGGAGGGATATTGGAAAGTAAACAGACTCAGTTAAGCAGCATACCTTGACTGTGATTAGTTGATCTGTATACCGCTTGTCAATGTCCTTGTAATCAGTGGTGAGATCGTCCTGCAGTTGACGCAGCTGAGCTTTCATGGATGTAACCTCGCCGCCAATGTGGGAACGCTGCCAGTCGTTTAGTCGCAACATCCTGTACGACAGGTGTATGTCACCTTTGAGTTGGCAAGTGCCTCCTTCTCCTTGGAAAGACTGTATTTATCTTCGAACGACCGACGCGCTTTAGCCATTGACTCAAGGTCATGGGTAGCTATCTCCGCCTCGACTTCCGCGATTCCTTGCTGGGTCTCTCGCAAACGAACATTGTCACGTAGATTTGACATGATCGTGCTTTGCTCGCCGACTTCTTTGTCAAGGAGAGCAACAGAGGCGCGAATACTCTCGGCCGCTGTATTGGCCTCAGTGATGTGCGTTTCCATGTCTCCGATCTCCTGATTGATGGCATCCAGTTGGCGGTCTTTTCGTTCGCGAATATACCTGTGAAACTATATTGAGCTCGATCTCCGCAGAACAATACACTCACAGTTCAATTGGCGCGTTCGCCGTCCGCAATCGCTCTACATTTTTCTCTAGCTCGTTTGAGATGGATACCGATTCTTCAATCTCTGCAATGGAAGTCTTTTCGAACTCTGCTCGTTCTCGCTCCAGGTTACGGAGAGGTAGCTCATCTCGAGAAACGGCTTGTCTCCTTTCCTGAGAGAACCATCAGCTATCATCCAAGATCTCAACTTATTGACAGGACCTCGATGCTCTTTTCCTTTGACAACATGGCCTCCTTGCTGTCTTTGACTCGCTGTTCTAGGCTGGTTCGTTCCTTTACCTTGTCTTGGAGATCACGCTGTCGAAGCTGGAGGTCGTGAATTCTTCTTTCTAGTGATCTCTGCTCCATGAGAGTCCGATCCTTTTCAGCAGTCAGGTCTTGTCTATCTTGTTCGCAAATTTTACTATTCAGTCAGGTCAGTGAGTGGATTATACCACCAGCAACAATTAATTCCTGACATCCTGTTGTTAACCGTGTTTAGATCCGTCTCTAGTTCTTCCATGGAACGGGTTGTGCCTTCGATCGACAAGCGCTCCATTAGTTGATCTATATCCCTCTGTATGTCTGCTATTTCTGATGATGCGGTCGTCACTTGCGCAGCAGTAAGTTTCAATGACTGCAGGTCACGCAGGGAAGCTCTTCCTTGTTTGAGACGACTCTCAGCCTAGACAACGGGGGTTAAATAGACGTTCAGAGGACGAGCTCAGAACGCACTTCATCAGCTGCCAGTATAGCGCTTTCTAAACTAGTCTCAACACCATTGAGTTCTCTAGCCATTATTGGAATTTCCACGCTCTCTAGCTTATTCAGCTCTTCCTCGTCTCGTTGGAAATCCTGAAGTTTTCGGAGGTCTTCCATCAGCTTATTGACGGTCACTTCGTTTTCCTTCTGCGCTTCAGGAGAGTTGAGTTTCTCGAGCAGTCTACTGATCTGGAACAAGCTTCAGTTGGAATGCTGGGAATTTTCGGTATTCCGCACATGTCTCTGAAAAGCAGGAAGTTCCGCATCCGTCAAAGGCCTGTCACAAGCTCGACATTTGTGACTCTTCACGCCGATGTCACGGATTTTATTGAAAAGGCTGATCGTCGCTGCGGTCTCAGCAACATCACTGTCTAAATGAGATCAGGTCATTTTCAAGTGCTAAAGACGTACTTTTTCACTTGCTCCAGCTCCTCGGTTTTGAAATCAACCGCTGCAGGGATGTTAGGGAAATCGCCTTTGCCTTCATTGATTCTGCGCCTTTGTGCTGTCATGATCCCACATCAATAAAGCGACCGCAGCAACGGAACGAACATACTTTGGACGAAATCTTTCTTCCCCTGTAGATCCTGTTGCAGGCGAGATTTGGAGGACTCGATCTGCTTGTACTTGGCTACAGCATTGGTACTTGTTCGTTCCTCCTCGGCGATGACGGCCTCCTTTTCTCTGTGTCGCCTTAGGAAAGTACGTGCGAGAGGTAAAGGGTACACTGACCGAATAGCTTGAGAGATTTCTCCTTCCATGGTATTTTCCTCTGGCTTGTGCCCGACGGCTTGTTCGAATTTCTGCTCCATGGATGACAGCCTGCATTACTCTCAGTACCGTGCTAGCAAATTGATGTGTGTTTACCAAGTGTTGATGTTGTCGCGCCTGCGTTTCATCTCTTGCTGGCGGGACGACAATCTAGCTCTGGTATCGGCCTGCTGCATGAGTCCTTGACGCTCTCGTTCCAACTTCTCCCTAGCGTCTTGCTGATCTCGTATCTCTTTGTTCCTCTCTGCCAAAGCTCGATCGAAATTGGTAGCTTCGGAGGCAGTGTGCAGAATGCTCTGCTTCTCTTCTTCCGACTGGAGTTCCGCACCAACTCTCCGTAACTCTGCATCTACCATTCTTGACGAGTCTATTTGTGCAGTGAAATTGTCAACATCTTGTTTAAGTTTGCTCTAAGGCACTCTTCAGTCCTTGTTACGATCTATTGAACACATTCGGGCTTACAATATCTTTCTGCGCATCATTGATCACTTGTTGATTGCTGGCTCTCTCATTTGATAGTTTGCGAAGACGACTATCTAGCTCTTCGAGCCGAGTTCTGCTTTGGTTCTACCAGAGTTCAGAACCAATCAAAACGAGACGTCGATGATTGACGAACCTTGAGCTGGAGTGTTTGGGTATTTTGCGCTGCGAGCAGATCCTGTAGACGACGAGTAAAGTCCTCAATCTTCGCATTGTCCAGAGAACCATGCTCAAACCCCCTCAAATGACGTTTTGACGCTATATCATGGATCAGGTCCTCTCGGGTGGCAATCTGCCGGGAATATGCCTGTTTGTGACAGTCAATACAGGCAAGTCAGGGCTGAGTTGAGTACATGCCTCCTTCTCAGCCATAAGTCTCCCCTGCGCAGTCATTCCATCCGCATGTTTGCGTCGATATACTTGTAGACGTTCGAGCTCATCATTGAGGTCTTCCGTGAGCTTGGCCCTTCGACTCTCCTGCTGAGACATTCGTTGCTCAAAGCTTTTGATCTTGCTGCCGATATCCTCATCATCTAGATGAAGTTATCAACACATTCATATGCACATAAGGTCTGCGCACCAACGATTTCTTTGATACTCTTATGCAAACTCTCGGCGTTCTTTACCAGATCCTCCTTCCTCTTGGTCAAGTATTCAACCCTTGTCAGGGTTTCCTTGAACTTCACAGCATTCTCATAGAACCGCTGATTGGACAGGGCGAGCTGTTCGCACTCCGCAGTCAGTCGTTCCAGCTCAGCCTCCTTGTCACCGATAGCTGTTTGCAAAGTACCGATCTGTGTCCGTAGCTAACAATGCGCATACATTAGCGTAATTGATGAGACGTACATAGCCGGTCATACCTTGCTTGCACGGTTCTTCTCCAACTTCAGGCTCTCGAGCTTTTCCTTCTCCGCTTTGAGATCGGCTACCCGGTCTTTACGAAGGCTCTTGATAGAGTCGAGAGCTTTCGTATACCTTGAGAATTCGTCAGTCCCAATTTTTAAAGCAACCACGCAATCGAACGTACTTCGTGGCTTCAAAGATATCATCAAACTTCTTTTTCAGTGCAGCGGGCTCAGCTAATGGCCAATATGACTCTTCTTGATGGCAGAAGATGACGTTCTCCAGGACGGACTTTGACACTCCGAGCAGACGGGGAATCTCGATGTCCATCTCGGCGCACTTGGTGGATATCGTGCTTCTCTATTTCTCATCAATATTGAGTGTTTCACAACACACGCCAAGATGACGTACCTTTCCCCTTGCCTCATCCGCAGTGCCCAAGATTCCCTCAAGCGTTTTCATCGTCAACCCCGTCTTCTTCTGCGTAACCGACAGGTTCCGAGTAGCAAGCATGCGCGTCCCGTTCGCGGCATAAAACCGCAGTCTCACTTGGGCCTTGACCTCTTTCTCATTCGCCATCTACTCTCTCACTGGTAAGTAGCGGAGCTTGCTGGCACAGGACAAAGGACTCGCCTTGGGGTCATGGACGAACGCACCTCCCCTGGTGTTGGGCGGCTGATCACCTGTTGTGATATACTTCAGGCATTCGATGATTGTCTGTTCCCATCAACCCAGGAGCGCAAGAACCCAACAAGACATATGTCAGCTCGTGATTCACACCAAAGCCGTTAGAGATCAAGCGCACCGTCTTCCCGCTCCCATTGTGGCCGACAATGACGGTGACAGGCGAATAGAACTCGATGATCGCCACAGACTTATCGTCGAACGAGCGGATACCCCGGATTGCGAGCTTGTCCAAGAACGCCCTGCTCAGATTAGATCAATATACAGTTTTTGGGCAGCTTGTGGAAACACATACATGACCTAGTAGTTCGAGTGCCCAATGTGGCTTGAACAAATCACGAGCGTCTTAGACGCGTCTGGTAGGGTGCATTTACGGCACAGTCATGCATGTCGCGAAAACACAAAGAATACTGTTTGCGATCAGTGATCGGAAAACTCTAGATTGGACATCGCTCTGTTTCATCCAGCATCTGTGCATATGCATGTTTCAATCTTTCGGACAACTACTCTCTTTCGTGTCTCTCCGTTGCAGTCAATCCCAATCAATGACACAATCCTTATTCCCATGTGTCTCATGTTGCTTGCAGCGCGTCTCTTCCTTCTCTTGTGACCGGACGTTCACTAAGGTTGGCACACGCATTCGCGATGAACCTACGCCGTCATCATACCTGCCGATCAGAGGGCTGACACGCGTGCTCCCAATATGGAGTTCTCCTGGACGTGCCAAATGCGCTTTCCCGGTGCTGCCCCTTGCCCGTCCCTCTCTCCGTCCTCCATCGCTCTTTCACAATGCTGCACATCCTCTCTGGTCTATGTCCCCTTTCCTGCATGTTCGTCCTGCCAAAGTCCCGGGTCTCATCCTCAACCCCTGACATGACCACCTGTCACCTCCCTGTCTGTTCGCTTCCAGTGGAATGGCACAACGCTGACGAGTATGCGCATACTTCCCCCGCCATGACCAGAATATGTCCAACCAAATGCTGTGTGGACAACCGTGTGTATAGCTTTCTCGTTATCAACAGAAAATTACTGGGATTTGAATGCAATTATGCCATCATTTTGAGCAAGGCGGTTCTCGTAAGTGCCGCGTGGCAAAGACAAGCAGGCAGCAGTCTTCCATCGAGAGCTACAATGTCTATATACGCACACTTGTATTCTCCTTCTTTGCCAGGGCATGCAAGTCTTGTTCTATTCGTGGGTCAGCCAAGCTCAGACGCCTGCAGAGGCATAGGACGTACGCATTCCCCAAACATGCGTCCGTAGATCAAGGAACTCGATCCTCAACCCGTCATATATCTTCTTTGCCTCTTCTCTCACGCGAGAAAGGTCGTCCTTGCTCACGCTAGTCCCAGAGAGCGCCTTCAGGTCCCGCTCGACCTCCTCTATGCGGCGGATGTGTTGTGAGACCTGGGTGCGGTCAGTCAGGCCTGTGGCGCGAAAAAGGACGAAGTAGAAAGTACCTTAGCGGTGGACCGGTGTAGCTCTTCTACGCTGGCCTGCAGTTGAGCAGATGCGTTCTTGTATTCGTCCAGTAGCTGATAGCTCGCGTATCCACTAGCGAGAGAGAACCCAAGCAAGAACCCGAAGATCCTATCCACCAGTATGAGAAAATGGGCATTGATCGCAGACTGACGCAGTCCACGTACCCGCCCCTAAACCCTCCAACAGGCCGACGAACCTTCACGGCCTCGACCGGAAACGCATTCTCGACAATGCTCGAGCGAGGTGCTGCTGTGGTCTTCACTTCTGCACATGTTGACGCTGGAGCAGCGGGCTGGGTCGCAGCGGGGACGACGGGGTCAGCTCGGCGGATAGAGGAGGTCGTGAGCCTCCGAAGATGGCGAGGAGCTGAGGGTAGGCGTCGGGCGAGCATTGGGCTTCGAGAGGGAAGTGGTGGAGGAGATGGGCACTGGAACTACTGTGAGGGTGTAGACGCAGCGGAGCCAATTGCTATCGGCGTTGAGAACGGAATAACTCCGATCATCTGTTGACCGGACTTTTTAACCTCGGCTCCGCGAAATATTCCTTTGGTGACCACGTTTGTTGATAGAAATACTGGTTATAAGGAAAGCGCGTTTGATTAACCCACAGACCGCTTCGTCCTACGAGCGATATGGTTGGTGCCTCATGTTAATACACTGATAAGCTGGGTTGCTCCACAGCATGCACTTTGTATGGAGTGGTGCACTGTATGTATATATCCTTCCAGTTGTGTTCTCCCCACTGTACTCACTTAGGATACAGTTTCATTATGCGCTTCAATGTACGGCATGAGATTTCCACACTGTTTATTCGATGTATGCGCCTCAATTTACTCAGAAGATCCAGATATACCACTTAGCTCATTGTCTATCATTCACCATTCACCTCTGATTTCTTTGGCCCTACTTCTGTGATATTTCCCTGTCTCGATACAGCTGCTCTGTCCATTGCATCCGCAGACTTGGGCTCACCGGCATATCCAGCTGTTCGCTCGCGATACAAGACTGACTGGACTGGCCTGGAAACACTTCGTACCCAGTGACATTTGCTAGGTATTCTCGTCTGAATTTGCGTCCTCTCATCGTGCGCGCCGAGGTGCCCGTCGCGTTGCGTCTGCTTCCTGGCTTTGTTTCTGATCGGTTTCGTCACTATATCCACGGGTTCTTACTCCGGTTACGCTGAGAATTGCAGATGCGTGAGCTCCGATCCCCTCGGTCGATGTATGCGCGTCATTTTGTTCAGAAGACACGAGCCGGGAAGGGCGTCACCTGCTCCGGTTGTCAGTAGTGACCGTATCCACTAACTGCATTTTGCCATCAGTCGTTGTAGATTGACCCGCGAGTCGCACGAGACGCAGCATTCTATCCTGAACGTTGGACGAGTGACGGTCTTTTCTTTTCTACAACCGCAGAAGAAGCACCTGCCCAATGTGCGTGTACCTTGGAAGAAGTGAGTCAGGGCAGAGCAACGAAGCTGGGGTGTGATTCATACCGTAATGAGACCCCCCTTCTCGGGATGGACGTGTGGAACATCGGTATCATAGGGGAGCAGCATTGCTGACGGACTTGAACTACAAGGATGCTTCGACCCAAGTCCTGTTGTTCTGCCTTCCTTATATGATTAGACCCGGCAGGCTCCATCAGGTAACAGGACGTTGACAGGATTCGCGAAGTCTTTCCGTTGTTGTGAGCGTTGTGAGCGTTATTGTCAGCGGATATGCAGTCAGCAACTGTCCAGACCGGAACTCAAAGAGCGCGATAGCCACTCCGCCGGGCGCGGGTATGCCGGCTTCTTATTCACGCGTGGAGGGCGGGCTGTGCGGGGAAACGCCGTGATAGATAACACGGGTGAGTTCGGTCCGCTTCGGCGGTTTCTGAGAGAAAATGGAAGGTGTGAAAGGAATCTTCCGATTCTGATCTCTGTGACGCGCATGTCATTTTTCAATCTGGAAATTTGGGTTGAACGTAATACGCCGACGTGATTAGGCGGTGAAGCTTGTGAATAGGTGGACAAAGTGAGATTCTCCACTCTGGTCGGATGGGTATTGACTCGGCTTGTGGGATGAAAGGGAACGTCAAGGCCGTATGGAAGGGCGGGAAAAGGCGCAAAGGGGCCGTGCGGCACGCGACGCGATAGGCGTTGACTCATCGGGCTGACGCGCCCACCTCCGAGCTTGGTGATCTGCCATGCACTCATCGGACGGTCACCAACATACTTATCCTTTGCGCTATCTTGGACAGCTGGTGTTAGCCTATTCAACAACGGTAAGCAAATGGCCCTTTGAAGATGGGCGTATCTGTGCCTCACTCGCCCACCGGTTGGTCCCATGCGGGCCCGGTACGCACAGCCCCCAACAATGCCGAGAACTTTAAGTGGACGGAGAAAGGCTTGGCCAGAAGTACTAGTGGTGAGACCCTAGTTTGGACCTGCCAAGCCCTGTGCCATTGAGCGGCTTGGCTTAGGTTTAGCTGAGAGAGGCAGACCCGGGGAGGATTGGGTGTATCGGCACCTGTCTGTCTGCCTCTCTTTCGTTATCCTTTCCCTTTTCTCCTCGAGCGAGCGGTGGTCTTGTCTATTAAAAGAACAACCTGACCCGCCCTCCTCTTCTTCCCCTTCTCCGTTCCCTTCCCACCCACGGATACGACACCTAATTCTTCAACATCGCATCGCCCTTCAACATCCACACACGCTGATCAATTCATTCGCTTCCTGACCAGTTCACGCCCGCAAGGCCACACATACACTACACCAAGTATTAATACCACTCCCTTCCTTAGGCCCGTCACCTCACTCCCTCCTCCTCCTCCTCCTCCTCCCCCACGTACAATACACAACATACACAACATGCCCTCCCTACTCTCTTCCCTCCTCCTCGCCGCCCTTCCTCTCCTCGCCTCCGCTGCCCCTCATCCCGCCTGGGCGCTCCCTGGAGACTCCCCTTATCATTCCCTCTTCCGGCGCCAGTCTGCAGTCCCTCCCGTAGGATCAGACGCTTGGATCGCCCTCTACCCACAGGCTTCCGGGACGCCAACTACTTTCCCCCAAAGCTGGACAGACGCCCTTAACGCCGCCATTTCCCAAGGCCTCATCCCCAACATCAGCGTCAGCAATCTCAACGGTGGCTACCCCACGTGCGTTTCTCCTCTTCCTCAATGACGCCTCGCTGAATTAGGAATAGCTACTCCGATGGACAGGGAACGGACCCGGATATCTGCTCGTTTACCTATGTTTGTGAGTACCGTTCTTTTCGCTCGGACTTGCCGCTTCCGATTCCGTCGGGTCCGAGCGGCTCCGAAATTTCGCCGTCCTGTGCATTTGCTGACTGCATGCAGGCAACGCCACGACCGACCTAACTAACCCTCCTGATGGCATAGTCGCACTTGCTTTTGACGATGGCCCCACGTCCTACTCCGACCAGCTCTATGACTTCCTTGCGTCCAACCACCAACACGCGACACACTTCATGATCGGCTCCAACATCCTTTGGAACAGTGCCCAGTTCATCCACGCCTTCAACACCAACGAGGATCATATTGCTGTCCACACCTGGTCCCACCCGTACATGACCACTCTGACCAACGAGCAGGTGGTTTCCGAGCTCGGGTGGACAGTCCAGATCATCCACGACTCCACCGGTGGTCTGCTCCCTGCATTCTGGCGTCCACCATTCGGGGATGTAGACAACCGTGTCCGTGCAATTGCGCAACACATCTTTGGCTTGAAAACCGTCACGTGGAATCAGGACAGCGCCGATTGGTCTATTTCCACCGGGTACACGACACTCCCAGCCGTGGAGGGAGCCCTTAACATGTGGGCCACGGGGCCAAAGTCTCCTGGCCTCGAGATCCTGGAACACGAACTGACAAACATCACCATCGCCGCATTCATGAGTGTATATCCTACGATGATCTCATCAGGATGGAAGGTCCAGCCTGTTCCAGATGCATACGGCTTCCCGTGGTACGCCAACGCAGACAACAGCACCTCACCCCTGCAGTACACAGCTGGTGTCGCATCTCCCCAACAATCGCTTTCGACGGCCGGGTCGACTTCTTCGGCCTCTTCCAGTCCTTCGTCTACCGGAAGTGGAGCTGGGGACACCGTCACCGCCAGTGCTAGTGCGAGCGGGAGCAAGAGCAGCCCCAGCTCGGGCTCAGGAAGCGCAGCCAAGAGCGCTGGCGAGATGCGCATCGCTAGCTCTTGGGCCAGTGCTTGGGCAGTTGGAGCTCTGGCTCTCGGCTTGCTGACATTCGCGTAAATGACCGAAGAATAAGGACCGGTGCATGGTGAATGGATCGTAAGGCGGGTAATGGATAGGTATGGAACTCAATAATATCGGTGGTGTTCCTCTGGTTTCGTCTGCTAGACGATGGACTCTCTTTCTCTCTTTCCTGGACACTCGGTTGTTGTGCTGCGCTCTGCCGCGGCTCGCTGTTGTTCTTCCGTGGTCTCCGTTCCTGTGTATCATTCATGGACTCTTTGGGCATTACCTACGTACATACACATTTCTCGCATCACACTCGCTTCCATTTCCACCGCTACTCGCATTTTCTCACGACATATACGTTATATTGTACATACCTTGGCTTTTTTCTTCTCAGTTCAATCGGTTTGTTGTTGGGTTGGGTAGTCGGTAGTTAGAACACGGACTGTACATGACTCGGAGGGGATGGGAGGGAGGGGGAAGATGGAACAGGTTGGTGAATGGATGGTTGTTCACGACATATAATTTCTCATAAAAGCAAGTTTGCACGAAGATCTCGAATCTGTGCGTGCTTCCACAATATATGAACGAGCTTCCCGAAGAGTAGCATAATATGTATGACGTCAGCCCAGTGACAATATTGAGTGAGAGATTAGTGAGAGACTACACCCCGAGAAAGAGCTCGCCCAATAGCTGGCGGGGCAGCAGAATGGCCCGGTGGCAACGCGACAGCGAGCGAGAAAGCAACGACAGATAGAAAACCAGCATATGTGTCCAATCATCCATCATCGGGCACCCCACATTCCTCGGTATTACATAATCGGATCGCCGACTTTGCTCTCTCTGTATCTCTTTTGTAAACAGTCGTACCCGACCTTTCGCATACCGGTGATATCGCATACCCCCCAATTTGGAATGGGTTGAGCGGGTGACGGGCCCCGTCATTAGGGGGCTCACTAGTGAATATGCATAACCCCCTGATTTCGCATTTGCATGACAGTATTTTCATATAGATATGCGAGTCCGGGGCAGGTCTGGAGTAAGATTTTCATAATAAAAAATAAGGCCATTTCAGCTCGATTTTGGTAATAATGACTTATGTTTGGCGACACAAAGAGCCGACAAGGTCAGTATTAGCCAATCATAAGAGCTCTTTCTGGCTCCCCCCCCTTCGGAGTTTGATTTTAGTTGTTATGTCCGACATGTTTTGCTTCCGAGGACCCCTCCGATCGCATTACCCGGTCATGACGAAAGCCCATGCGAGATGGTACGACTGTAGTAGCACTCTTCACATAATGCCCAACCCAGGTCGATCGGTCCCAAAGCGTTCTTCTGTCGAAGGCACGCTGCACATCCTTCTGCTCACCACTGGAAGTGTAGCGAGCGTCAAGGCCCCCCTTATCGTCAAGGAGCTGCTTAATGTGCGTCTCTCCCCTCTCGGTCCCTCATCCGCTGACTGTATCGTCTCCCTCCTTGTCACAAAAGTAGTATGAGAAAACCCAGGTGCAAGTAGTCAGCACCAAGCCTTCCATGCATTTCTTCGATGCGGATGCACTAGAAGCGGATAATGTCGCAACAGGCGTAAAAGTGTGGAAAGACGAAGACGAGTGGGATGTACGGGCTTTAACTCCCCGTTCTCATCCTGTCACTAACTATGGCTCTGTTACGTAGACGTGGGATCGGATGGGCGACCCAGTCCTACATATAGAGCTCCGGAGATGGGCGGACGTCGTTCTCCTCGCTCCGTGCAGCGCTAACACGCTGGCCAAGCTCGCCGCAGGGCTCTGCGACAACCTCCTTGTGCGCCCCCCTCCCCTCCCCCCCTCGTGGCCCCATCTCTGTACTTGATAAAGTCAGCTAACATCGAACAGACATCACTCCTCCGCGCCCTGACGTCCGAGACGTCCAAACATCTCTTCCCAGCCATGAACACTTGCATGTACCTACATCCGCACACGGCTTCCCACCTCTCCGTCGCCGAGCAGTTGGGGTGGGAAGTCGGTCAGCCAGAGTCGAAGGCGCTCGCTTGCGGAGACGTGGGGATGGGGGCCATGATGGATTGGAGAGATATTTGTTTGCTTGTTGCAGGGCGGTATGGGAGGAATAGGAAGGCAGGAGCGCCGGAGGTACCGAGAAAGGTACCTGTCGTTGATGGGATTACTGCGGCCCCAAAGTTGGAGGTTGAGCAGACAGTGTAGAGAATGTCAATAGGGCATGAAGGAATGGACCCCAGGGGTCATCGTGTGTGAAACTCTCATTCCGACCACATTGTATCCTAACAGTGAGGTCCTGTTAGGATACCACACTCGAACGCACGCCTTCAAAACCTGGGCACTTACTTGTCTTTCCCACACGGGTATGTGCTCAAGCGAGCTGTCATCTAGCGAACAGAGCTCAAACACATGTGTCCCTCCAAAGTCAAAACAACAGATGGATGGGTCTCGTTTCCCCAATCGACAGCAATCTCAGTCTCGGAACAGTCCATCTCCCCATGAGAGGCAGGGAGTGAACAGGAGAGGACAGTCTCACTTAGCTCCCTTGAATGAGAACTGCCAATCCAGTCGGAGCCCGTAACCGGTTGATGTGTGTGTTGTTGCCAAGACTCTGTACCTCTTGAACCAATGGGCGCTTGTTAGACAGAGCCATCAGGTATCGTTAATATGTGGAAGACCATACCGCCAGTGGACATGAAAAAATGATCCCGCCCAAAGAAACAGGGCATGGCGCTCCGAGGAATACTTCAACTCTACCATAAGAAGTGTCGATGTGGAGCAGGAACAAGACCATCGCATCCGGAGACACAGTCATCCTATGGCTGGTATGAATTTTCGCTGAATCTTCTAAATGTTTGTTATATTTGCCCTTCTCGACAGACGCGCGAAGCCGTACAACCAATCATCATTACTCCAGGCAAAGAGCTCAACAATCGGTTTGGTAGTTATCGACATTCTGATTTCATTGGCAAATCCTATGGTTCCAAAATTTCGTCTCGTAATGGACGTGGTTTCATACACGCTCTTCGTCCTACACCAGAACTCTGGACGTTGGCGCTGCCTCATCGCACCCAAATACTATATGTCGCCGACATCGCATTCATTACTGCTGCACTTTGTCTCCGACCCGGCAGCTTTGTCATTGAAGCTGGTGAGTCTGCGTGATAGTGTGTCAATATTCCAAGCATGAACCTGATGCACTGTGTCACCAGGAACTGGTTCAGGCTCTTTCTCTCACTCTTTGGCCCGTACGGTGGGTCATGGAGGATCGCTACACACGTTCGAGTTCCACGAAAGTCGGGTCAATCGAGCTGTGTAAGACTTAACGATTAAGAGCTTGTTATCTCCATCTGATATACTCCAGGCAGGAATTCGAGTCCCATGGGTTATCAGATATTATCAACATATGTCATAGAAATGTTTGCAAAGAGGGTTTCGGGCTGCAGGACGTTGCCGATGCTGGTATGGATATCTCGTCTCACATGGTATTTTCCGCATTACCACATACGCAGTCTTCCTTGATCTCCCTGCACCGTGGGATGCCATCCCATATGCTCGCACAGCGCTGAAGGTTTGGCTACAACATGTATATCTCATCTGCATTTCTAAGAAATCACACAGAAAGATCGAGTGGCTCGGATATGCTGCTTCAGTCCCTGCATGGAACAAGTTCTCCGTACTGTGGCAGCCCTGAACGAAGCGAGTTTTAGTGGTTCGTCATTTCCAAGTCCCTCGTCTTCATGTTGACCAGTGCTCGCAGATGTAACAATGTACGAAACACTGCTAAGACCCTCCGAGCCACAGCAGCTCCTCCTGCAATCAGCCGACACTGTGACAGAAAAACTGAAAATAGGAGAGCTCCAAAAGGAAGCTCGTCGCCTGAGGCAGGTCGAAGCTGCCGTCAGTGGTCAAAAGAGAAAGCGGGAAGAGGTAGACTTCCCTCACGAGTCTTCCAATTCAACTGACGGCATGACATCTCAATCCGCCAAGCCTAATCAAAACGGACAGACTGGTATACAGCCTTCGGGTGACTTAATCACTGTGGCCAAGGCCTCTCAAGAAGTTCGGGGTCACACCTCATATTTGACATTCGCAACACTCCTGCCAGTCGCAGCCGTCCGCGAAGATTAGCACACAGACCCGGATGAGAAGATAGATAACAACTTCTTTAGAGCTTAGACACCTGAGACTAGAATAGCATGTCTAGTTTTCATCGTTGCTCTCTTCTGTAGCTTGTCTGAAAGCTTCATTCATCTCCTGCTCCGTCTGAAGAGCATCAGCAGTCTTCTGTCTGCGAGGCCGCAGCACTCTAGTCGGTGGTGGCAGCGTGACGTGCGTCTTTCGTGACCTGGACCTTGATCGGATAGGAATGGCCGAGGAGACTTCTAACGCTGGGACATTAGGTGTTTGCGTTCGTTTAGGGACCGACAGTGATACATTCTCATTGTGGTCTCCTGTAGTCCCATCGATTCTGTTGGAATGTAGGACGCCGCGGCAGCCACCATTATGGACCTTCGCAAGGGCTGGATCGGAATGCATCTGTTCGGCAGCAATTTGAGCCATTGTCTTCAGAGGGTGTCCTAATCCAGACACTGCATGTTCTTTGCTGCCACCACCGTCATTGTTAGCATCATCGTCGTCGTCATCATCATCATCATCATCATCATGAGAGAATGAGGGGGCCATAGTGGCTGAAATTGGCGACTTTGGTATAGTGGCTGTTCCAGCAAGATCGTCAATTAATATGTTGAGATCGGTTCCATGTTGCAGGTCGTCGAAGTTGTCTTTGAAAGTGACTTGATTTGCGGGTATATATGAAACGGCTTTGGGAAGATGATACGGTTCTATCGTACTTCGTATTGACGTCAAGAAGCCGCCTGCATCCACGTGTCGATCCTCATCTTCGTCCTACAAAGAGATTCAGCAGACTCATGGAACCATCTCCGATACTCAGTACCTCAAGCGCAACATGATCTGATCTATCCTTCGGGGTGGTCGCATACTGAGCTTGGAGCCTTTGTCGGATACGAAGACCGTGTAGCAGTCGGAGCCAGCGTTTTAGCGCCATGTCATATCTTCTACTTCGGGCCTGCTCCTCTTCAATGTGGGCGGTCTCCCAATATGCCTATTCCGAGTGAACCAATGCCATTTGAATCATTCACACAGAATGTACGATACCTCGAGCAGAGGCTCCTCATTTTCAGCAGCTACGACGATACCCTCCAAACGAGGCACAGCACGACGTTTTCTGAAGTCAAACCCGACCTGATCCGGACATCATTGAGCTCGTGGCACTCGGTATAATCAAACGGTTACGTACGACAGCTTCAGCATAGTCAAAGCCTAGGTTCTTGGCAACTTTTCCGATACCTCTGTCTGCACAACTGTGAGCCTCTTTTACTGACGAGACCATTGAAGAACTTACACGGTAGATGGACAGCCCCTTGAGGAAGCATTGAGGGTACATATAAATCAATATTGCCAAATGCATTTCGGGGAACATGGCCCTGCGACAAGTTGGGTTAAACTCTGACCTGAACATAACGAACGCACGTTAATGACAGGGGCGGGACGGAATAACTCCGTCTGCCATTTGGCGTAGAGGCCTTGTGTGGGCTCTTCCCCTTCCTGTGCAGTCATCTCCTGAGCACGGCGTTTCTCCAAGGTAACAGATCTCTGCTTGACAGACTTGAGAGGATTTTCAGTTTCCTTCACCTTTCTGCCTTGTCGCATCCAATTCTCAGCGGTTTTCAGAGCAACCACGGACTTGCGGGCAAAAACGGGTTCACCTCTGAACGTGCCGAGTTGTGTTCGGGGATGAATGATTTCTTCTCTCCGCATGTGCCGTTCCAGTGCATAACTGGCATGATTCTCAGAGTAATTCGGTAGATGTGGATATGACGGACATACAGCGGATGACTTTTAAACGCGGCAATAGAGTTGGGCATCCCCTCTGCAGATTGATTTGCCTGGAGCTCTGCGTCTTCGATGTCATCTCGGTGCTGATGCATTTGTGAGGTAGCGTATCCGGAGGGGTCAGTGTGAAATTACCAAGCGATACGGTCGCGTGAGAGGCTGCATTAGCTCTTCCCACCAATCAGAACCTGGGCGAGTGGGTGGACGCATTTTCATTACTCTTGCACCAAATTGCCTCGTATACCTTGGTGTAACATCTCTTGCGAACCCATCTGACACATCGTAAGTTGCGTCATGAGTGTATAATGATTTTATCCATACCCTCCTCGTAAGCAACCACATACACCATCCTGTTCCTCATATCCGTGCTCTCCGGTTCAAATCTTCGTTTTGTGTTGACCAAGTCTCGAACGGGATCGACAGGCAACCATCGTTGATCCGGACGTGAAAACACTTCTGTCCAAAAGATGGGCATTTCGGAAAGTTCAGCACGTTCAGTTGTCAGTAGAATCGAGTCAGTAACTGCAGACGATGTCCGGCTCTTCGAGTCCCTTGTCATTTGTCGTTTGCCTTTCACGCGCCCGGGACCATCGTTATCCAGAGTTGGCCAATCTGGTGGCGAGACAGATGTTAGGGAGATGTTGATGGCGTCCGGGTAATTGTTCCGGGAGGACTTAGGTGTGATGCTTCCTGGACTCTTTTTCAAACTTTGCCATGGGACGCTTTGCAGACTCGTCACGAGCCTTGCTGGGACCCCAAGTGCCCGGACGAGCGCAGTGAACAACTGGGCCGAGATGTCGCGGGAACCTTTCATCATTAGTGCATGCTTCATGAGACTCTTTGATGATCTTATCATGTCGTCATCTTCTGTCGTTTCTCGGTGCTTGTCTTTTGGATCGGATGTTGACTCTTTGCTGAGCATTTGAACCTCATCCCAGGTTCTGCTGCGTATGCCTTTACCGTCTTCGATTTCGAACATAGAACACCACCAAGCGCTCAATCGAATGATGGCGGTCTCAAACATCCGTCCTCTCCGTATCGCATCCGGTTGATTTCGTTTGGATATTGCTGTGAACGCATTCTGCAAATGGAGCGGCGTCAGAGAGAGCAAACGTCCCTTTGCCGTGTTCAGCTCCGTGGTCGACGTCAATTCAAGAAGGCGCACCTCCAACAGTGGGTCATTTAACCAACGATTTCGGATACGTGAGCTAGCCAGGAGCGAGACTGTGTGTAATTTATGAGCTTCGAGTCGGTGATAGCGCTCCAAGTTGAGAGCTGCCCTCTTTCTAAAACCTCGATTAGAACCTGCGGGAATCGCAATGGAAATGGATGTTACCGGACTTCCTCCCTACTCCCCCTTTGGCGACCTATAGTTATCTCAATGGGTGTTGAGACGCCAGGTACAGCCTGTTCTTGTGCTGAAAGAGGTGGAAGAGGCCCATGAAGCTCTACTTCTTCCCACTCCATGTCGTCCTCCGATTCTTCGTGGTGGTCTGTGGGCACCTTTGGCACCGCCGAATCTGATTTACAGTCCGCGTCTGACCCACCGTCGAGACCGGCTGCAGCACTGACTGCATATAAATCAATATCAATAAAGATACAGCAAACGGAAGAACACACCCGCCGCAATCCCGCCAAGCGGTGTACTTTCTGCACCGGCAGCGTGTGGTCCACGCGCCCTCAGAGATTTCCGCCTTGGCTGCCTGGGATGCATAGAGAAGATAAGACGGGCACAAGAATTATCGCATTTATTATCTACAGGGACGGGGGTGTTTCTTGAGGGGAAGAAAGGAGGACGGAAGGGGCACCACGACCAGCTGGTTGACTTTTGGAATATTGAGTGAGGATGAGTCGACTACTCTGCTACTGACGAATTTCGGAGTATACACGAGATGAGTAGTGTGTTGGTGTAGGCGGGCAACGGAGGCAAAAGACCCTGTTTTCGCCAAATATAGCAATTTCTCCCAAATGTGAACATATGGGCTTACACCTAAGCACTAAGCACAGATTTATGATATACAATGCAGTAAAAAATATGATAATATCACCCTACCACTAACCATAACCCCTACCCCACCCTAACCGTAACCACCCCTAACCTGCTAGATAGGATATTAACATAGGGGAGGAATTGCCTTTTTCAGAAATTACGGAGGCAAATTGCCCCCGTCCGCAAAGAGCTCTTTCCTTTTTAGGGAATTATGGACGCAATTTGCCTCCGACATGCGCACATACTACTCATCTCGTGTGCGCTCCGAATTCCGTGAGACCCTGACGGAGCTTCCGAATTTTCGAATAATTTCATAGACGTCGCGTCTCCCCTTTGCTTGCACGGATTCTACCTTTACATTTCTTCTCCACCCGCTGACTGTTATCTCTGGGCACGGGCCATGCGTGTCAAAGCAACTCAGATCAGCAAAGCAGTAGCTCAGGTCCAACGTCAAGCACCAACACAAGTGGGCAAAAGAAAGGGAACTGTTGTCCTTTCCACGAGCACGCCCGCTCAATCCCTCCCAACTGGTTGATGCTCATTCGGTGATTGTGATTAGGCCTTCCTACCTCAAAGAAAACCACCGCGAACAAGAATACTGGGCTTCTGCAAGTGGAAGGAACTTCAACGCCCCGTCAGCCGCCTCCCCATATCAAGTCAAAGAGTCAAGGATCCAAGGGTCGTGGGCTACAACGCCATGAAGATGCCAAGGAAGGTCATGCAACTGCATCGAACTGGCTGAGACCTTCTTCAGTCAATGTTCAACGTGCGTTCCTCTTCATACCTAAAAGTATATCATATTGGCCTAACTGATGAAGATGTCGCCCCCCTTCATGACGCCGAAATCCCGACTCTTGCGCATGGACTGGACCGTGTTCTCTTCAAGTATGTTTTTCGTCTCCATCATTCAAATATTCTGATCTGTCCATGAGCCCCAATGTGTACTGGCTTCAAGATCCACACTCCCGAGTTTATAATTTCGAGCCTTACCTGCAAAAGCTCATTACGCGAAATGAGTTTGCTTACGAACGATTAATGAAGTTTGTGCCTGCCTCCCAAGATCCAGTACGTGCACTTGCACTTAAAAGCTGAATGCAATTGACAGATGTCAAGGACCTTTGGGAGCTTGCGAAGAATCACGACGCAAGGTATATCGGGAGTACTAGTGGACTGTCGGGTATAATGTCACACATATACTGGCTGCTGAGTCGTTGGAGACCCATAGATACCCGATCACTTAGTGCCGATTTTGCGAGAGAGGTGAGCAGAAGACTGGACTCTTGTGACTGCTTTGTTAATCTCGCCCTAGCCCAACACTTATGCTTATGGCTCACGAGTGCCAGTGACTTCCAAACTTGTCTATCAAGATGGGCGATACGCGATTCATCCTGATAAGGAATGGGAGATAGTTGGCAAGGCGAACAGCATTTTGAGCGAGTTGGTGAGCACGATCAATAGCACGTACGTGGCGCTATCTGAGGCGGTCTGTAGGGTATTGTGATGGAAAAAATGCTTACCTTGGAACCGGAACTCTTCTCCCGCTTAACGAGGTCTATGCCAGAGACAGATCCTGAAGAGTTCCGCAAACGAGAAGCGTACTACTACTCAAAGGTGAGATAGGACGGGTGCCTTATGTAGGCCGCCTGACACAGACATTCAGACATCGAAATTGCTGATGCGTTCCCAACTTGATTGTCATGACCCACGACTTCCTGGAACAGGTACATTCGATTTGAAGACGCGAGGCGTCATTCCAATACGACGCGACAGATTAAACTATGTTGTGTGTCTCCTTGACCTTCATATAAACATGGACGCTCATCAGTGGTGCAGGAGAACTCAGGCTACCTCATCAAATATTCTCAGGGTCTCTTCGAGAGCTTTGAACGAGAGTACTATGACATGATGCGATCAGCCTTCCTGAAATACAATTTCCAAGTACGAATAGGCAATATGGATGGTATCTTCGTTGCGTATCACAATACTGCGCAGATATTTGGTTTCCAATACATCTCGAGGGAAGAGATGGATATACGACTTTTCGGCTCCAGTGAGATGGCGGATGATGCATTCAGGCTGGTGTTGGGCATGTTGGAGGCCATTCTGGACGCCGCAACAACCATCTTCCCGAACCAAGTATGTGCCAAGGACTTGAACTTGACGCGCCCTCTAAAGTTGCGGCAGACCTTGCGAATGACCTTTGAAACTCTGGAAGGACAGCATACCATGTATGCTTGGATTGAACCCGATAAATGGGACGAGGAAAAAAATGGGCAGTGCCCAGTTGTTCGACTAGAAGTCCAGGTACAAAGCTTCCTGAACGGTCAATTAGTGGTACACCCCATTGATTATGATTCGGTGCGAAGTGGGTCAGATCCCGTTGAATGTCAGTAGTCACTTTGCACGGAGTACGGGCCATTGACTGCAAATACAGGGTCCGTCAAGTATCGCATCAGGCCTTCACAACAGAATGCTCGCGGCAGAGCTGAAGCTTCCAGCTCCTTGGAGAAAGCGCGTGCTAGGCGACAAGCTGTTCTTAATATGTATCTTCCCTCAGGAGTCGGAGCCGAAGAACTCCTCGCGAAATTCGACACCATGGATATTGCCGACATTATCCGAACTCGGCAAACACCTGCTGAAGTGGAGAGTGAGCATGAAGGATTCAGCGAAGAGCCGGAGGAATCCATCCGAGAGGAGAAATCAGACTCTCTGAACATGGGCGACCCTGCGGAAGTCAACACTGCAGCCCTAGAAGACAGCAGCATGGACAAGAACAGGCTCTTGCGCCTACTTCGCCGTCCAGGAGGCTTCATACTCCAACTGAGAAGCTTGGCCAAAGCGGGAGCGGCCGAGTCAAAACGACTGGAAAAGATGGAAGCCGAGACGGACAAGGTCGTTTGGCGGCCTAAGCCCCGAATTGTGAGCTCAGAGCTTGCGGGGGCTCGATTGTCTCAAGGACTCCGGAATAATTCAGGTACAGACGCAGTCCAAACTGCCAATCCCACTGGTATTTCGGAACAGACCAACGTCCAGAAATCGTCGAACGCCGGTGAGGTAGTTAGAGGATCTAAACTTCAAAACCACGTGGTCGATACTAATAGATTAGGCGAGAGGGTCGATGAGAAGGGATGGTGGAGAATTTGGTCATGATGTGATGACTTGCCTATATGTATGTTACAGTGTGGGTCATACTACCCTAATGCGCATTGCTCTTGTATTCTCACGCTGCGACTCGGTTATCTCATCATCTCTAAAGGAAGTAACCGTGATGTACCAGGATCAGTGAGCTTGCCCTGATTAATACGTGGCATCACGATGTTCTCTTCGTGGCAATGGGGGAATGTTCACGAAGTTCTTGTAGAGAGTGGCTTTGGTTTCTTCAAGAGCGCGACTTCCTGCTTGTGTCATAGCGGCGTGAATGATGGCGTCAGCAGAGCGGGTATCGCTCGGGAATAATGGCTTGTTTTCCATGCTGAACAGATAATCCCATGGTTCTGCAGCTGTGTGCTGCTGAAGATCAGCCATGCGATTACGCAAAATGCCACATGGTGGCAATTGAGAACGGACCGCAGTGATTTGAGCAAGTTCATGGGCCACTTGACGACAGAAGTAGTCCAAATCGAGATCATTCGCATCGTAGTTGACTAAGAAAATTAGCATATCAATCTGATCAGTGCCAGCTCACACGCACAGGGGTTCTCGCTAGAGAGTTGGCCCAGTCAGCAATAAAAAGACAAATCGAAGGCACAGAAACATAAATGCGTACATTTGGTGACCGATCTCAACCAAACCGACAATGAGGAATGTGGCAAGGGCTTGCGCTCTGTTACTCATTCAGATCTGGATACGGATAATGAAGAAGAATGTCTTTTACGGAATCGTGAGAAAGCCAAACGTGGGGTATATCTGGAACTGAGACTGTGTCAGTGTTCCGGGAGCATTCAATGAACTTGTGTGTAAACGAACAGGAAGGAATGTTAGATAGAGCCTGCCAGCTTTGTTAGCTCGGTTCGTAGGCAGATACTTGTGCTTCACCAGGTGAACATGCGTAAGTGAGCCTGATATGCAAACGGTACTTTACACAGGGTTAATGAAGGAACTGCTCGCTTGTCATCAATGCGTACTTGGCGTGGTGGCCACACGTTCTAATGAAGCGAAGGCATCCTGCAACGAACTGAGGGCGTTAACAAGGTTTCCCAGCGTCGGTGCAGGCACCAGGCCCTCCCTCCCCACAGTAGCTAGGTAGGACGAGAGATAAAGACTGTCCCTGTTAATTGCAGATGGTCACCGAAGCCACAGAAATACGAACCAAATCTCCAATGGAACATTCCCATCGAGGTGTTCTGGCCTTTTCTTCTTGCCAAATGCATCTCGATCATCTCCATCCAGACCCGGATCCTTTCGCAACCTCAGCAGAAAGAGTAATTTTCTCGCCAGCCAAACAACAGGTTTGAAGACGTAGAAAATCGGAAGATAGTCATAAACCCTTGTTGGCGGAGGACACTCGGCGGGAAGCAGTTCTATCGCGCCCTTCTCAAGGTCAGTAGGGACGATGGGCCTATGGGCCACTCCGCTAGTCGATCCCACAGGAGCCAATGTGCCATTCGGTACGTCCAGTCTGAAGCTAGTTACAGAGCCACGTGCTGAATGGCCCGTGCCGTGGGATGCTAGGCTGTCACTTCGAAACCTGCGCAAAGCGGGTGCTTCCAGGTTGGGAGAAAAAATGGTTGACAGAACGTAGCCGCCTCCAGTAGCCGGGGAATAACGGGGCAGAAAAGATATCAGAGGGTAGAGATCCTCATAATAAACGCCAGGCTCTCCCCGGAGGAAATGCTAGTTCAGCATATTGAGTGGGTATAGGTTTCAATTTGGATGCACGATACAGTCATACCTTGACGGCGATAGAAAAGGCTTGAACCTTTGTACCACCGCTGAGAGGACTGAAAAACACACACATGAAGCCGGTCCACTCACCAACCCGACCATTGTCTTCTTTTCCAAAGTCGCTTTGAGTCTTCTCTCCATCTTTCTTTGGTCTTCATTAATCAACAGCGGTGCGGGTTTCGAACTGCTTGCAGGAAAATTGCCTTTGCTAGGGGTTTTTGGAGGCTCCGGTAACTTTGATGAGCTCTTCTCTGGGCGATCCGTCGGTACCTAGAAAAGAATGAAATTTCGGAAACAAAATAATGGTCTTGTGCGCACGTGAATCCAAATCAACGAACCCAATGTTCTGCTTCCTAGAATGATGGATGTCCAAAGCCTTCTGCCTTCCCAGTATCGATCATAGGCACTTGAAGTTCTGAAACTGATGACCAAACCCAATATGGTACCGAGGACGGTGAGCAATGTGCTCGAGATACCCTGAGCTCGCAAGTCAGATGGGGCTTAGAATAGAAAGGCACACGAACCAGGTTGTGAACGTATTCAGACACGAAAGTGACGATCATAGCGATACTTGTGAAGAAGAGCATTTCAGGCCATATGTCGTTCAACCTGTTCAAGTTCAGCAGTCGAAGCAAAACATGCATTGCGAATTATTCCGCACACCGTGGCATTCAGCTTGCGCAAGGAGAAGCTAATCACCAAACGTCAAAAGGTCGCTCAGCACGCGCGAGAGACCCTCCTACCTTCCCTTGAACATGGAATTTGACGCAACCATACTTAGTCGATTCCTGTTTTATAGGAGAAAAAGAAAGTCTGTAAGGGAGGGATGGGTGGATTTGATATGGAAAGAGCAGAGCAGCGAAAAAGACCTCGCCGGCACAGTCGGGAGTGCGTGGTGACCATGCGTGCCGAACGAAGTCTCCCTTACGATGGCCATCAACGATCCCGATTTCCTATTTTCACGTGTTGCACTGCAATTCTTTTTAAATATGCATTACATTATAGTAAAAAAAATGAACAGGGCGGATACATTCATTACTCATTCATCATCGTCAAACTCAATCCCTGATGACATCTCTTGTTTCCATCCAGCTTCATCCCCATGTCTTTGACTCAGTGTGAGGGGGGGGTCAGCCAAGGTTGTAGTCGAATCCTCCCTTTGTGCTCTGACTCTCCTTGGGGTCTTCCTTGGTGTGACGGATGCCGAAGCAGCCTTGGCTCTCTTCGTAGGTGTGACAGGAGGGAGTATCACAAAATCGTCGATCGGGACAAGATCATGGGCTGCGACACATGCTTCTATCCATGTTGGCTTGATCACCGTCCGGCCGTGCTTCCAACCAAGCTCGGCGCTCTTAACTTGCGCCTTGTCAGAGAAAGATGATCGAATAACGACATAGTGACAATCCGACATAGAATGAGATATGCGGCCTCCATGTCTCTATTCCACAAGTGTAAGCAAAATTTCACACCCAGCGGAAATGCAACTGACGTTAATTGCCCTGATCAATTTCGTTCGTTCTTTGATCTCCGGCTGGACCCAAAAAGCTGCCTGAACACTCTTACCATCGTCGTTCACTGTAAAGAAACGGACAGTAGAGCTGCTTTGTGAACGGAAACTGTTCAGCGCCGACGGTTCGGAAGATCCTGGCACCTCATCTTCCATGGACGCTGAGCGCTGAGAAAGCGCAGACCGGTTAATGGACAGTCGCTGTCGGCTGACAGAGTCAATTGGTGCATCATCAAACAGATCGTCTTGTTTTCTCTTCAACAGATTCTCTCCTGTTGTATAAGGGATATCAAATGCTTCAGCGGGCTGCAGTGTTGCGATAACAGGGTGCCCACTGAACATATGCTCGTGCCCAAACGAGGTTTCTGTCATGAATGTCTGGGGAGATGGAGTTGATACAGACGATGGCAAGCTATGCCCGCTATCTGGTGGGGGTATTGCACTCGGTACAACAGAGTCAGACTCTGGCATTGCAGAGGCCTGTAGCGAGGTGGAATACGAGACATGAGTCTGCTGGAATGGTCGACTAGATGTTCCGGTTGCCGGCCGAGACAAAGCCTGTTCAGCAGGTGGCTCAGTCTGTTGTGCAGCGCTTCTGGATGAAGGAACGTGTAAGGTCTGAGCCAACATATCCAGCACATGTTGTGGCAAGGCTGATAGCAGATTTGCTGCAACTGAAGCCTGCTGAGGCTGGGGAGGGGCGGTACTTTCACAGTTGACATGATTCGATAAGTGCGGTGTGTCGAACGGGATAACTGGATTTGCAGGTTGAAATTCATTCATCGTGGTCTGGAAATCCTGATTTGACTGCGACGTGCCTGTCGCCGTTGAGGGCGATGGGAGCCCGTCAACGGTGCCAGGCAGCCCAAATAGGAGAGGGACAGTCGCAGGTGGGTAAAGCACGGGGGTCGGACTGATATCCAATGATATGGTGTCCTGGGGAAGCGGGTATGTTGAGGGTGTCATCACGGGCAAAGGAGGCGATAGATGTCGGCGAGCCGTGACGTCTGTGCCATGCACTGAGGGTTCAAGCTGGTCGACAGGAATGAACGAGGTAGGCACAATAGATGTCGAAGGGGGAAGGGGGAAGGACGACCTGGAAAAGGGGATTGAGGCAACGGAAGGCATGTAGTAATACGATGAACATACTCTTCATCATCCTCGAATGGTTGCTCATTGGCCAAAGGTTTTATGGCGCCATCCGTTATGCTAACCCTACACCCTCCATAATCATTGGTAGGTCCAAGAAAAATCTCATCTCGGACACACTTGTTCACCCATTCAAGAGTGAGGACTACGACAGATAAGTTTTGGGCAACACAAGGACCAGACAAGGCCCCACCTACTTTCCCCTCTCCAGACCAGGTACGTGCGTAGAGTTGACCATCAGATGTATCGTCCCATACGATAATATACTGGGCTTCTAAAGGGCTCAGAACGATGAGGCCTCCGCGACGCTGTGTACGCTTCAGGGGTAAATACCAAGCACAGGCAATGGGCACACACCTGTATCTTCCGAATACTGGTCCTTCGCGTGTTTGAGTCAATATTCCCTCCTGCGTCCACAAAAAACCGCATTTGTTGTCCATCACGATCCTTGAAAATAAGTCGAGGCCTCCCTTCTCCGGATAACATCGGTATAGTACTGTTTCAATGATGATAAAACCTTCATGGACAAGAAGGACAGACAAGTTGAGCAAGGGTGTGTAGATCGCGCTGATCGGAGGCAAAAGACCACTTTGTGGCCTTTGTCAAGACAGGTCTACTTCTGTGGACTGTCACTAGTTATTATTATTATATGATCTCATTGTTGTTCATCACCGACACGCTGCCTCGAACAACCTGTTACAGGCGCGTAACTAGGATAATCATGCGTCGTCATGAACTGCCGCTGCTCCACCACTTCCCTACCTTGGATAATGCGTAACGTGTGCTCTTCATTGGCCCGGCGCTGATGAGGCCCTTCAAGGACTGGGTCACGGCAGGGCGTCGAATGATCGTGGATAACTCTTTACAAATTAATTTAGGTAAAATTGCTCAGCAAGCGCGCAATCAGCAGCTGATCACGAGGACACACCAGATGCTAATCCATTCTTCATATTCATTTCTTCTGCGACCTTCATCCAGAATCCGTTTTCATCGTTATCGCTTTCATCTGGTTGTGTCGGGTTGGCCAAATGATCATATCGATGCCGCATGCGATCCCGCGGAATCTGCGGTAACTTCCGGAGCAAAGAAGCGCGGTATTTGGGTGAGCAATCTTGCTGTCAAGTTGTTATACAGATTGGTCTTGATCAAGACAAAACTCGAACCTTGATACGTCCAGACCCTTCTCGCCAGTGCACTCCAGGTATTCCACGAACCAACCGTTCGTACAGCTCATGAAACTGCTCATGCTGAGCCGAAACAATGTTGCGAATCTTGTTGGGATTCTCCCCAGGTAAGGACATACGTGGGTCTCCTATTTACACTCCCTGAGAAGAGCGACAGAAAGCGCATGAAGTTCATACCAGAGTAGCTCAGTCCAGCTATCGATGCCCAAAGCTCTTCCTCGGTAAATTCTTCGGGTAGCATCAACAGTGATGCCCTCACTGCACTGACCAGGTTCACTTGCTGCGTCAAACGAACCCTCGCATCATCCTTCACTATCCGAATTGGTTTGTGCATCCTTCCCGAAACATATAAAGTGTCCCACTCCAGGAGATCTTGACAGAGCGTATCCATTGAAATCACGCCATACTTGATGAGTTCGCCTTGTACACATACATATGTGCAATACCAAACCCCAGCCCCATACTGGCGCTGCACATGAGAAACAAAGGAAGAACCCAGAGCACGAGCATAGAAAGGATAGTGGCTGGGATTCTGAGTCATGTTGATGGAGTGCCAGTGCGCGGGATAAGACACGGCAAAAATGAAGTCGAGCATCGGTTTGGGTTGGTCCACATCATTTCCAGTTTGAGGGAACACTCCACTGCCATACGCAAAAGCATATCGTATCGGAGCGTTGAATGATGCTACAACCGAGTTCAGTTTCAGTTTCGTCTCATCGGGTACGGAAAGGAATTGGTTTCGACCAAATGATGGAGGCAAAGACGGGTGTGGTGGAGGCGAAACCCTCCGAGGACGAGGGTGGATGAAAGCAGATGTCGTTGGACGGTGTACAGGTGCAAACGGAGGAGGTGGGGTCGTTGGGCGCGGTTCAGGCAGCTCGGTTTCGGTGGAATAGCAAACAATGCGGTCGGCTCTTCGTCCAGTGTTGCCATTTGTTCGTCGGCAGACAGCAGTCTTGGAAGACTGGGCAACACACGCAGCTCGGGAACATGGGAATAAGCTGGGTGGATGCCACGTTATAAGACGATGCATATAGGAGATAAAGAGGTGGAAAGCTGTTGGCATGAGAGGAACAGCGATTGCAGTAAGGGGCGACTCCTGGCGGCTGTGCTTTGTGGTAAAAGCCTAAGCTGCAGGGAACGGGATGGCACCCAGCAGCAAAGAACTTGCCAAATAGATTTCTTATTATGAATCTTTGAAGATCCCCCCTATTCTCCAGCTATTTTCACTCCTACGCGTTCACGAGCTGCAACTTCCTCTCGTTCCTGCAACTCGACTTCCTCGCGCATCCTCTCAACCTCTGTGCTCAGCTTACCAGGACCCTCTTTGTCGATAGCCGCCTGCGATAATGGGACACGCGCTCTCTGCAACAAATGAGCAGTGCGCTTGGCCGGCCGTTTCATTCTCCGGCGGGCCACCTTGAGATGTGCGTCGGACAAGGGAGAAACAGAAACACAGTAGAGCTTACCATCACAGGCACACTTGACTTCTGAATGAGGTAATGAGACGTGGAACCGAGAAGAATCCCCTTCAGCTGACCCAAACCACGCGAGCCAACAATTACCATGGTAGGTTCGTAAAAATCAATGAGGTCTGAGGGAGCGTGTCCGCATCAGTAAAATCCTGGGCACAGTGACAAACCCACTGACCGAGTAACATGTGACGGCTGTTCCGAGCGTGCCATGCCTGGCATGATACTGTAACATGTAACCTTGTTCGTTGTAACAAGGAAGTCGCTTGTCGGACAAGCAAGTATGCTAGGGTGGATCTCTGTGGGAGTCAGGTGAGATTCTAGCTGATTGTTAAGAAGCAATAATCACACCTCCTGCTGATTCCGCAGCTTCGCAACACGATCTGTAGCATCAGCATCGACTGAGAATGCAAACATAAGTACTTGGGGATACGACAGCTAAGGTCTCACCCTTCGTTTCGGATTCAGTTACGTTCACAAGAATCCTAAACCACCAGTTAGTGTAAGCCGGGATGGCGGCAGTGAGGACAAACATCTCGTCTCCATCCCTCAGAACAGTTCCAATACCCCATTCTACGGCATATTTGCTTTCTTCACTTAAGTCACTGGCAACCATGTACTTTCTCGGGACACGCTCCCCTTTTGCAAGGTATGCGTCGGGATCTCCATGCGTAAGCACAACCGTGCATCGATCCTTTGCGAACATAGGTCGACTTGTCACCAAGGGCAAGGGATCTCGCATGCTAGCTTTTCGACGACGGGGTGAGTTGATGCCAGTCCTTTGTCCAGGGAATAACTCTGGTGCCATGACAACATTGACACCTTCACCAAGTGGATCCGGAAGTTCCAGCATGGAATCTTCATCCGGTCCAATAGGAGAAGCGACAGCGGCATTGAGCTCGGTATTGTGAGAGGTTTCAGCATCGAAGCCATCGTCGCTATCCCACTCTTCTTCCGAGCCCGACCCCGAGTCATCTTCCTCGTCTGACCCATAAGAGTAAGCCATGTTGCGAGGACGAACAGCGTTTATGGGAGTGGACCTGATGCCTTCGTCTTCAGCTTCCACTTCGGATTGCGACAGTTTCAACGGTGCAGGCGGTTCAGCGCTAATAGAGCGGCGCCTTCTACCTTTCCGCTGAAAAGGAGAGGAGCTACGACCCCGTGCCTGACGCTCTTCTTCCTTCTCCGATTCTGCGTTCAAATTATCTCTTTCCCTTTCTTTCTCCTTATCCTTTGTGTAGAGAGAAAGTCCTGACATTACAGATGAGATGCTCTTGCCGAACCCGGTGGATGGTGGGTCTGCCTTGCTGGTAGAGAGTGCACGAACGTGCGCGTCCCTGAGGATCTGAGTAGCCTGCTGGTTAAGAATGTCGGCATCAGTAACGACATTCGATGCTTGACGAGTCAAAGCGGAGGAGGGGTTGGCAGACATGCTAGACAACGTCCGTCTAAGTGCAGGAAACCCACTGGCGGGAGAGGGAATATTTGGCAAGGGTAGTGAGGACAGACTGGTGAAAGACCCAGTACGAGGAAAGAAACGTGGTGATGAGGAGACACTTGGAGGCGGGGAGGGAGACGAAGTGGTGCTGCGGGGAATAGGTAAAAGTGTAGAAACGACCGCGTCTTCACTTGTGGCAGGAAAGAGGGACGGATCGACCGGGGGGGGCGACGGAGGCATTGAGACCGTTGTCGTTGAGGGAGCCTCCCTCTCGCTGCCACCAATTGCGACTTCGCTGCACACCATGGCGTCGCTTATTACTGGTTGCTCTCCCCCTGTCAGCCATCAATTGTGGATGGTTGTGTAACGGAATGTGGGAACAGGGGGAGGAAGGGGAAGAAGTTGAGAAGGCGCAGGAGATGCTTACGTCTGCCTCTCCAGATACACCCCAAAGAAAATCGAGATCGTAGACGCGCAATCAGGTTTGAAGGTACTGATGACAATAGACCGATTCAGGCTGCGATACGATGACAAAGAACCGAAAGAAAGGGGATTGCAGGCCATGGAGGGAGGGAAGGAAAAAACAGGGAAAGAAAGAAACGTCAAAGAGAGTAGAATTTCCACGTTCCAATCAAGAATACCATCACCCCCAATCACTGATACCGTCGATAAGTCTGCTTTGTACTACTCCATTCAGATACAGGCTAGAATTATTGCTGAGAATGTCAACCATGCACCAGGAACACTGCCATCTTTCAATAACTCATGCCATCTGCTTGACTTAAATCTCTTCACGGATGTCACGTAACACATCAAGACCACTATGGAGCATCGCGGAACCATCGTTGTCTGCACAATCGGAGGTCAGCGACATAGTCAGGATAATCTAAAATGATTTACACAATGGCGGGTGTCTTTGTCCATGGCATCCGACCTCCCACTTCTCGTAGCATGACGTCAGTGCCGAAGTACCAAGCATGACCCACAACACAACCCATAAGATCCGACGCAGCTGCCCTCCAAGTTCCATTGATTGCCCAGCTAATAGCCACAAGTGCGACTGGCAGATACGGTGCGGAGACGGTCATGATCCCAAATAGCGAAATGCGCATTGCTGGCTGTCGCCGTGACCAGATGTAAACCAGTGTGAATGCGAGCGGAGAAGAAAGGAAAGGCAATGTGAAGAGGGGGGACAGGAGCTGTTGGGCTGTTGTGAGCTAAGATCGATACACACGAAGAATTTGAGCTTACCAGGAGCAGAGTAGCAGAGGTAAACAGGAGCCAAAAATACTCCGCCTTGTGACCAGCGAAGGAGCTTTCCTCGAGCATTCGGCTATACCTCATGCTGTGTTATGTTCGTGAGAATTTTCAATAAGCATCTGAGAACGGGGGGGAGGGGAGGGGCGTACAAGAAGAACAAATGAAATACGAAATCGATTGACAGTGGGCCAAAATAGAGAAAGGTTGCAAGGGCACGCCATGGCTATTGCACTCAAAGTAAGTTGCTGTCTTCAGATCTTCAGAAGGAATGACACCCGCCTGCAGGTGAATGAAGGCGCTCCTGAAACTAAAGTACAGTTGTAACGGGGTTATCAGGTGACATTGCTACAACAAAGTATCAGCACTGGGATATCACAGAGCGACATCGACCTACTACAGCAAGACTTGTGCCAATGGCGGCAATTAGCCACGCCCTGGTAATGGGCGGTATGTCGGTCAACCACGCCTCCAGTCCCACAGGCATGAGGGTGGCGGGATTCAAAGTTGGGGTAGACAGGCACACATGTGTGTGTATGCGTGTTTGGCACCTAAGAACCCAGTAATGACCAGGGTGAAGACGAGAAATGGACCGTCTGACAGCATTTACGCGGACGGGGGCAATCTACCTCCGTAAATTCCGAAAAAGGGAATCCTCCCTTATTATGCAATATTTGTGTGGTGGCACGAGTGCGACCGATTCCCCCCAAACAGCACAATAGTACCATGTGAAAGCAATTCGTGGGAATGCTGGGGCCAGACATGTTTTACCAACGAACCTATCATCCAGGAGATTGTGAAGCGGATGAATGAGAAGGGAATAGAAGGTTGACGTGTGAGTATGAGTCATGTTACTCGCAACAGTTACGTCCGGAGGCCAGGGCCATACACATGAGTTAGAATGGTGGTACGGGATGTGATCGATTTGGTTCTTGCCAATAATGGATCATCCGGAGAGGTGGGAGAACAATGAGCGAGAAGTGGCTTGAAAAGACCCCGGATGCCCAATATTCAAGGACATAACCCATGTTTGAGGCACCCAAGTCAGCATGACTCACATCACCATTCATAAACCACTTGCTCTGACCCACCCTCTTCCTTTCCCTGGCTCTTATATGTGCTTGTGCTTTATCCATACTTGCAGCTACAATTTCTGACATGTCACTCACCACCCTCATCTCCATGATTCTTCTCCTGTCCTGAGAGGAAGATTGGCTGTGATCCTTTTCTGTCCTGCGATGTTTGCCTCTCTTTTTCTACAGCAAGATTGGCATATGAGATCATTCACATCTGACCTGTGCATGCACAAGGAGTGATGAGTCAGTGAAAATCCCAGAATAGAGAGAGACATGGTGAGAATATTGATGGGGCTTATTGGGAAATGTTGCCTTGCAGGAGTTGTTCTTTCAGTTGTAAGTGTACACTTGATTGTAATGGCCCAGGTAAGACCCTAAAAAATGCAACGCAGATTTTGGACCCTAGCTCGCCTTTCTACACTTTCTAATAGCAAGGTTATAAAATATATTCATGATTTTCTAACTACAAAAAAAGTGTATAAAGTGTAAGAAGACCCTCAAAAATGCGACGCAAATTTCGGATCCTAGTAGTGTAGAGCGTTTTCTGACGGAATCAAATTACTTCCGTCCCATGTGAAAGTGCTTTTAACGGATCTCGGTTTAAGGTCAGGTCGAGGATGATGCCCTTCCTCCCTTCGGTCAGGGGAATCGGAGTTTTTTCTGTGTCCTTTCCTCACCATCATTGGTAGAAACTGTGTCTAGATGTTTTTTTCTAATACAGAATGGTCTTAACAGGCCTTCTGAGCAATACTTTATCAGACTGGACCATCAGTGAGGGCCTATGCTGAGGTCCTTTCACCCTCTGATAACTCAGCAAGTTTCATGGTCCCAGAATTAAAGCCAGCTTACTTAAGCATCAACTCCTTGAATGGCTTTTGCCAGGGAGCTATATTCCCATGGCATCCCGCACTGATGGGCAATGGCACTGGAGTTTCAGCAGTCACATGCAGGGAGCCTTACTGGATCTGGCCTTAATGTTCTGTTGAGGATGGTGTGCCAGTGCAGGAGTAGCTGGGGATGCTGCTCCCTTCCCTCCCTCCTCCAGTCAGGAGAATCATTTGTTAGGAACATCCAGCAGGGGTGGTGGATATTAATGTGGGGTAGAGGGTATACTTTGATATGTGTTACCCTGCAATAGCGCATACAAATTTTAGTATATCTGGTAGCATTTGTTTTTACGTTTGAATATTCACAACTGTACTGTATGATTCGGAGTAAGACCCTTGTTAACCTTGAAGAGCAGCACTAGATAGTGTTCAGCAGTTCTGCCCTCTTGAGATGGGTGTCAAACCACACAGAACAATGTAGTGCATGTTGAAAAGGTTTTAGGATAAGCCCTCACTGATGATAATGGTAATAATAATAATAATAATAATAATAATAATAATAATAATAATAATAATAATAATAATAATAATAATAATAATAATAATAATAATAATAATAATAATAATAATAATAATAATAATAATAATAATAATAATAATAATAATAATAATAATAATAATAATAATAATAATAA